GCAGCTTAGGAATGTAACTGTTAATCTAAGAAAAAGATGCGACAAATGTATTGAACTGAATGGAGGGCTGGTAGAAGCAACTAGAATTATTTGAATATGTTTAACTTATTATTCGGTTATTGTGTTGCTTGTAGTATTTTTATCATTGTTTGTAATAAAACTCGTTGTCGTGGATTGATTTTTTCAAGGGTTACTTGATAACTCATCGTTAAATTGGCAAAAATAGGGGAATTATTTAATTTAACTGCAGAATTATTAATAATTAATATTTTTAAATGAAATTTGGTACAGAACTGTTTTTGGGGGATGCCGAATGTAGGGTGTACTCAAATTTTTTGAAAAAAAAAAATCGCTAATATGATTTTGCAAATTTTTTCACCACAAAAACTTCATTAAGTAGGCCTTGTTTTTTGTGAAATAACATGACATTGAGCCCTAAAGTACATTTTTTGAAACTTTATATTTGAAAAAAAAATCATCAAAATCGGACTATAAACACAGATTTTATGGAGGGTGCCCGGTCTTGAGTGGGTCACACTGTATATGAATATTATTTTAAAACCTTGGTTGAAAACTAATTTGACAAATCAGAAAAGTACTCCACATTTTTAAACGATAACATTTGCACTTCTGCCAATGGTACCATCGACAACTGCTACACTAGTGTGGTTGGGGTAAGAAAACTACATTCGCATGTTCTTACACTTTATTTAAACAATGACGTTGTGCTTACTTTAGTTATTTATTAAAATTATTTATTTATTAAAACATAAAAAGAAAACTTTTTATTTTAGGGGTGACATATTATAAGGGGTGAATACCACCCTCTGATACTCCAGTGCAAATTTTAATTTAGATTTATTTTAAAATTTGAAACATGAAAAGAATATAGTATTTTTAAGTAACACGCATACATTAAAAGTGACCCGTTTACGTCGCAAGGGGTAAAACTCAGCCCTTGTCACTTTTTAAACCATATTTTCTGTTATCTTAATTCAAAAAAAGAGTTTTTAAAATTATGCAACAATTTGTTTCCATAATTTAATTTAATTTAATTTTTGTTCCTTTAGGGGTGATAAAGGGGTAAAATATACCCCTCTACCATATTTGCTAGAGACGACCCATCAATATTCATATTCTACAAGGTTTTCTGAAAATTTTAAGCTATGGCACAATATTGTATCACAAATCTGCACACGGGATCCCATATTTGACACATTGAAACCGGACTATATTGACATGATTCAAAAAACCAAATGCTCAGGAGATATGGTTTTGTGCTGGCTGAGGCGCGCCGCTAACTCAGAAGAAGGATCCATACGGCCACCGAGTGGGGGTTTAAGATTATTATTTGTTAGACATTGTACAGTCTGACAAACGGATCTGAAACAACGGGGCAACGGCAAGGGGATCGCAATTTTCTAAAATCATGAGCGATTTCATTCATAAAATATCCACGAGCGCGCGGCGTTTCATAAAAATATATCAGGAATTTTTATAATATTTTCCAGTAAAGTTCATAATATTATTTTACTTTAAATGTACCTGCATTTTGTTTAGTCATTTGCCAAATATAGTAATATTTGTTAAAACGCGGGTAATAATTACAATAAACACAAATCAAGTTAAAGTTATAAAACACAATACAATAACACCGCCACTGGATTTTTCAATAGTAGTGACTGTTTCTACTATTCCTAGAGAGGGGCATAAAGTTGGGGGTAATGGCGACAAGACGTGCGAGAATCTCGACCAATCAGACTGGTTGAATCCGGGATGCCATGATGAATTTTGTCAGCGTTGCCAGCTTATCCTAAGCGGACGTTATCTTAAGGAAATACTTTACCTTTTATAATAGGCAGAATGAAGGAAATCAGTTGATTAGATAAATATACATTATTACAATAAGAACTACGTCAACATATCAGCATATATATAATTATGTATGCTGAAATGAACTAAAATATATTCAATTTATAGGTAATATCGAGCAACTTTGCTTTTCTATAATTAAACGTGACAACATCGACTTTTTTTGCCCGAATTCCTTCCGCTGTTTTAGATTCGTTTGTCAGATAATATTGTCCAGGGCCATGTAAGTGAAATATTAAAAATGGTTCCAGCAAAAGTTTCCCAATTATGACGGATGATGGCGCTGATCGTCAAAATTTTTGGACAGGGATTTTGCTTACCGACAATACGACGTGAGCTACGACCGGACAGGACCAATCAGAATGAATGATCAGTCCATAAAGTAACTAAAATAAAAGAGTGTTTGAAAGGTTGTCTAACTTGGCCATAATGTTGCATAGTTCAGTTAGGGCTCCAAAGCGTCGCCACCTGCTACCTGTCACGTGTCATTACAAGAATGACAAGTGACATGACAGCAAATTATTTGTATTTTGCAATTGTTTACAATTTTGTTTTGAATTTTGGAATTTTGTTATTATTTTGTGTAGCATAAACTTTGTTTGTTTTGTGTTTGTGCGTACAGAAATTATGGACGAAGTTTTATTTCCCGAGGAACGAGAGACCTTATATTTCTCTATGATTTGAACTTTATATTTTGTGCTGTGTTTTGCCATCATCATGTAATATTTTGTTCAGCCGATGATGTGATTTGAACACGATCCAGGAAAGGGTATCATGGAAAGCAAGTTCGATATGTAAAGACATTGCCCATCTCTGAACTCTGTGAACGTAAAACGAACTGACTATAAATTTGCGCCTTCATTTAATAGTGTTGAACATTTGCTACATCAACTGAACTTCAACTGCTGACTGCTGAGTTTATAAATCCAACTTAAAGGTGAATTAATTTTTGATGATATCTTATTTAAATCTTTATCTGTTATAATAGCATAGATTGCAAACCCTGCGATCTTATATGCTTTGTTAGTGGCGTTGTTAAATACGTTTTATAATACTATAGGTAAATCGAAGGGTAAATCGCTGGTGTATTTTGGTGGTGTACAAGATGTTGGCATTTTCGTGGCATTATTGGTATTAGTACTAAATTATTTGGCATTACCTTGGCATTAGTGTACAGAAATTCATCAGGAGTTTACCCCTCGAAGTTAATTCAGCATATATGTTTTATATTATCAAATTTAATTTAGCATTTAACTGTAAGCATTTGAAAAGTCTACAATAGTTTATACTTTTCAAATATTCCGTTTTTAAAAATAAACTTTCGTTATATTTTTGCAGTTTTAATTTCGTAATATTTTAAAAAATACATAAAATTTTATATTCACATTTAAACAGCCCGCCTTTTTTGTGGTAGGCAATGCAGATACCTATTTTACCGATAACGTCTGTCATATTTCGATTAGTTCAGTTAGGGCTCAAGGGTGCGCTACAATCGATCCTCGTTAAACGTGTTGCCTACTTTTGACTATGGAAATGACAACTCTTTTATTTTATATTTCTCTATGGATCAGTCTTTCTTGGACATTTGCCGCGGGAGTGTGTGTTAATTTCTGTTGTGATAAGTGTGGTTGTGTTTGCAGTTTGTTTTTTCGGTTTTGATTTTATGTTAAAATTAATTTTGAAGTATTGTATCACCTGTTTTTATGTAATAGTACTTTTTTTAGTTCTATGATCTGATATGTTATGATTTGTTAATGTTTGTTTAACAATGTTATACCAAAGAGGTTATACTTAATATATCAATTTGCATAGCCTAACTTTTTGATCAATAAACTTTGTAGATTTTCAGATTATTTAATTCCTTTTGTTTCCGTATGTAATTTTATTTTTAAGACATATTATGTGATTGTTTCAGATAATATGTTTTAAAAATAAAATTGCAAATAGCGAATAAAAATAATTAAAATAAAAAAGTGTATTTTACAATTCCCCCGGCCCCGCACCCCTTTGGCTAACCTGTAAATGTCAGCTTTGTCGAGAGATGGCGTTACGAAAATGGAACCGATTTATTACAAGGAACTTAGGCTTCTTTTTCGTTAGTATATTCTGTGATTTGTTAGACATTGTATTGTCAACTCTGACGCGTAGCGCATCTCTCGCGTAACACGTGCCCGACGACATTTGACCGTAAAATTATATTTTAAGAAAATTTACACACGAAATTATTGCACAGGGTGTTTTAAAGTTAAGGTAAAAAAACAACCCCTCGATTAACCCTGTATAATATGCCAAATACTAAAGTTTATAAAAAACTTAGTTTACGAATTATAGTTGTTAGTTATAATTATACACAGTTTGCTAAAAAATTCATAAAAATAGGGCTAAAAATAACAAAAATATAACACTTTAAATTTAACCAAAAATTTCTCCGTTGCGTTTTTTTCGCGTCTGGGATATTAATTTTTTGTAGATACAGATTAGAATAAAATAGTAGATATATAAACAACTATAGTAAACAATAAAAAAATAAACGCATCAAGGACAGAAAAACACATATAAAAACATCAACAACTTAAATAAAATTAAAATTCGTGGTACCTACTTCACAGTTGCTACTTTTTTATGAAACTAACTATGGTAAATACATATTTGATGCCGCTGTTACAAATTTATGACAAAAATATATGAAAAAAAGACTTAAATCTTGTCTAAAAAGACTTAAATCTCATAAAAGACTTAAATCTATTAAAAGATATAAATATTTTCTAAAATGACTTAAGTCATTAAAAAAAGTTTAAATCTTTTTTTATTGAATTAAATCTTTTCAAAAAAGGTTCTTTTGAAAAATCTTTCAAAAATTTTTTCTATTTCGGAATAAAGACTTAAATCATGTCATTCTGAAAATGACTTAAATTTTAGGTCTTAAGTCAGCTCTCGAAATATGACTTAAAATCAAATGATTTCAGTCATTAAAATGGTTTAAGTCAAAAAAATAACTTAAGTTTTCTGTGAGCTTGCAGCTCTGCATTACACAATGTGAAAGTGTGAAAAATGTACCAAAGTTATGCTGCAGTCACAAAGATACTCCAGTTGACGGTAACTAAATTTATTTCATATATTTTTTATAGTTTCACAGTACCTGTATTACGAAAAGGACGAAAACATGGATTGGAAGAAAACGATATATACCAGGTGCTTCCAAAGTTTGACTCAGAAAATTTAGGTAATACGTTAGAATCCTATTGGAACAGGAGCAGATATTCCAGAAATAATAACGTAAAATCGAAACAAAATGGTGAAGTAACATCAAATGGATACCAGAAGCAATCTGTTGAAGAAAATGAGCCAAGAACGATATTCAGATGTCTTTTAAGATGCTTTGGTTGTTATTACTTCGCTCTTGGAGTGATGCAGCTGATCATGAAGACAATAGCAATGTAAGTCACTGCCAGAAACCTTTTAGACGGTGAGCTGGCTACATAAAAAACCTGATCATCGTTACATGGCTATTTTTTTGTGTAAACTATCCTTTTGTGTAGCTATTATGAAATAGTCATGTTTGCCAGCGCGATCCCGGGGCTTAAAGCGGGGGCGGCTTTAAAGGGTGAAATTTTGACACTAAAAATATAAGGTACACGAGTTATAATTGCCAAATAGCTTTTATTTATTATTAAGAAACGTGTAAAATTGTCGACAGACATTTTTCACGTGGCTAAAATGCCGCCAGACAACGCGAAAGAGGCATGGAATTTTAACAAAAAAATTTATCGCATACATGCATGTCGATTGGTGGAATGTCATGTTTATTGTTTATTTATTTAAAAAGCCGTATGCAAAAGGGCAGACAAAAAACGTCGTGGCTCAGCGGTAGACAGTTATCAAAAGCGCGATATTACTCTACAGGGTGAATCTTGAATAAGAGCAAATATTTTCAGGGCTGGTAGATCTCAATAAAAGAAACATATTTTCTTTTTTACAGAATAAGTCCAAAATAACCGAGTTAGGGTGGCTGCAACGACCTCCCGTAATCCTGCGGTTAAAACAAAACAATTGATTTTTACGAGGCATGTTTTTTAAGTAAGTACCGTTTTGGAATTAAAAAAAAACGTGCAAAGATATCGCAATAATTTTATTTTTACATGAAAGCCTGTACCTTAATCTACTTTTCTACATAATTTCCGTGAATATTGAGGCACTTGTCATAACGTGGTACCAGTTTTTCAATACCCTCCTCATAAAATTCTGCCGCCTGACTGGTTAACCACTGTATCACAACTGTTTTGACTTCGTTATCGTCTTGAAGACGCTGACCGCCCAGGTGTTCCTTCAAGTGCAGGAATAAATGGTAGTCACTAGGCGCCAGATCAGGGCTGTATGGAGGATGATCTAGAGTTTCTCATTTAAAAGATTTGATGAGATCTTTGGTCCGATTAGCCACATGTGGACGGGCATTGTCATGCAGCAAAACAATACCCTTACTCAACTTGCCACATCTTTTGTTTTGGATTGCACGGCGCAGATTGTTCAATGTCTCACAATTAGATGCTGCATTGATTGTCTCATTACGAGGCAGAAACTCCTCTAGCAATACTCCTTTTCTGTCCCAAAAAACTGTGCACATGATTTTCCGGTCAGAATGTGTTTGCTTAAACTTCACTGTTTTGGGTGATGATGAATGTCGCCATTCCATGGACTGTTGTTTCGATTCTGGTGTGACGTAGGCCACCCATGTTTCGTCACCAGTAACAATTTTGTCTAAAAAATCTTCACCTTCATTGTGGTACTGCTCAAGGAAAGTCAATGCATTGCCTAAACGTTGGGTTTTGTGCAAATCCGTCAACATTTTCGGAACCCAACGTGAACACAATTTCCGGTAATTCAAGTTCACGGTCACAATGCGATACAAAACACTACGAGAACATTGAGGAAAGTAGTCGCACAATGATGAAATTGTAAAGCGTCTGTTTTCTTTCACCTTTTCGTCCACTTTCTGCACCAAATCTTTATTAACGACCGAAGGACGCCCACTCCGTTTTTCATCATGCACATTTGTGCGGCCATCTTTAAATGCTCTCACCCATTTCCTTACCATTCCATCACTCATAGTGTTTTGTCCGTAAACTCACAGATCTCACGATGAATATCGATCGGTTTTACGCCTTTAGCACTAAGAAATCGTATGACAGCCCGTACTTCACAATCGGCGGGGCTCACGATTGTCGGAGGCATCTTAAATACTCAATAAACAACGTATACAATGAAGAATCAGACTGTACTGGCGTCTGTGCATAGACAAGAGATGTAGGTAACCAGCGCGCATGCGCGGAACGCCGACCGTAGCGCTGCGGCGGCGGAATCGCAAAACGGTACTTACTTAAAAAACATGCCTCGTATATATGAAAACCAGCTGTTATGTTTTGACAGCAGGATTACGGGACGACGTTGTAGCCACCCTTGTTCAAGTTTGAAAATTTAAAAAGAAACTGATTTATTTTTAAATAATTTTGTGAGCCACCTGTTTTTTTTTCCTGTATTTGCATCCATTCTTTTAGTGTGTAGCCATGGAGTAAAGCCGTAAGCATGGCAGGTTAAGAAATAATTATACCATGGCTAAATTTGCGGTAAGCAGGCAGTTCTAAAAAGTTTTCTAAAACATACAGGAAAATTTAAACAAAGATGCACGATTTTCTAAATCTTTTTTTGCGAAAAAAAAACTCATAAACGTGTTCTTGGGGTCGAAATATATCACCCTTAAAAGAATTTGCACTTATTTAAGACTCACTTGCACTTATCACTTGCACTTATTACTTGCACACTTATTTAAGACTCACACTGTATAAGGGTTTTCAGGAAACGCTCGCCGCGTTATTAATTGAACCCTAATACATGTAAGTCTACAAAAAGTTTACGGTGTAGATATCGACTCAGAGGAAGGCTCGTTTTGCCAGAGCGAGGATCTGCAGTACGATGAGTCAGATACAAATAGTGAGACAGAATAGTAAATATACGATATCTGTTATTGAAATAATAAAAATTAGATTTATAATATAATCGTATAGATGATTTATCTATACTTAAATGGATGAGGCGGCGAGCGAAAGAGTAATATGGCGCTTTTGATAACTTTTAATTGTGACTGAGATTTGTCTGCAGCTGATTTAGCCACGATCTTTTTGTCTGGCCTTTTGCATACGGCATTTACAATAAATTGACAATTCCACCAATCGGCATGCATGTATACCATAATTTTTTTCATTCTTTAAATTTAATTTCTTAATAATTTTTAAAATTTCATGCCTTTTTCGCGTTTTCTGTCTGCATTTTAGCGAGTAGAAACATTTCTGACAACAATTTTCCACGTTTCTTAATAATAAATAAAAGCTATTTTCGCAATTATAACTCGTATACCTTATAATATTTTTAGTGTCAAGTTTAAAATTTCACCCTTTCGATTGACCGCCCCCGCTTTAAGCCACGTGATCGCGCTGGCAGACTAGACTATATTTCATAATGGCTATACAACAGGATACTTCACACAAAAAATTAGCCATGTAACGATGATAAGGTTTTTTATGTAGCCAGCTCTTAAGGCTATTTGATTTTTGATAAAAAATTATAGAGCTTGCATTATAGTATATGTTTCTGTGCTATACAGGGTGCGTCTTAAATAAGTGCAAATATTTACAGGGTTGGTAAACTTCGATAAAAGAAACATATTTTGTCTTTAGAGTTTTTCAAATAAGTCCAAAATAACAGAGTTATCTTACATTGAAAATTTCAAAAAAAAATATTTTTTGCTTGAGATCCTTTTACTGGATCCTTTCAGGGTTTTCTTTCTTGTAAATTTAATCTACTACCTATGTTGCCATGTTATCAGGAAATTATATTTTTTAACTGAAAACTAAAAAAATTCTCAAAATATTTTTCAAAAAATTCCTATTTTTTTTTGTTAAACCATTCTACAGGGTGTTTTAAAGTTTCCTCAAAATAATAACATTTTGTTTTCACTCGTATAATAGACAGATTGGGACTTCTATTTCTAATTTAAAAAATGGGCTACAAAGTCAAATATTTTAGCTACATATTGCTTAAAAATCATCAAAATCGGCCCGTTAGAACAAAATTTATTGAACTTTAAAATAAATGCAAATTATAAGGTGTCTGTTATTCCTGTCGGTCAGTAAAAACATTAAAAAGATTTATTTAGATTGTTCAAAGTACATGTTATATACATCCGTTTTAAAGCGAAATGCACATAAAAATTATATGTATGTCAAAATATTTATTAACTTGAGTGTGTCACAAGATTTTAAAACATCTATAATAACTATTAAAACAATGTATTAAATTAGGTTCGTCTTGTGTGGCCAACCGTTGTTTATTACTTGACATTATAATAAATTAATAATAAACTTGGTAAATTTCATATTAGTTAACGGAAGATCAGTTTTAATTGTAATTAAAACAATTGCAGGTATTAATATAATTGCAGTAATTAATACATTAGTAGGGGAGCAAAAGATGATACATATAGGGATTTACATGAGCGTAGTGTGGGGACCTGTTGCTGGGGTCGGCAACCTTTTGCTATAAAAGGGCCACAATTTTTTCAAGGAAATATGAGCGGACCTCATTTGCTCATGCATCCATGAATCATATCATATGTCAACTTTTGACATTCTCGTTTAAAACAAAATTGAATTTTAAAATTCAATCTAGAGTGCCATGGTTATGTTAAAAACACTAATTCTTAATCAAGGAGCCTTGGAAATATCGTCTAATCGTCTAATGTTTTTAGTGTTTTGTCCTGGCCAGTTAGAAAATGCTCAAATCGTATTTTTAGTCATATCACAATTTTTTCAAATGGAACGAGGGTGGCTCATTAGCATATTTGGAAAAGGCATTTTTTTACGAATAATTTGGTACCACACACTTGGTATTTCGAGTCAAATTTTCGTTACAAACCGCAAGTTATAATTTCAAATAAACCATATGCGGAAATGTCAAAATTTGACATGTGATATATGTCATTCTATTCAGAGTGTTATTTTCTATCGAATAAAGTAAAAAAATACCGAGGGTGCCATTTAAAAATCAAAAGTTGTAGGTAAAATTTCCGGTGAAACAGGAAGTGACCCAAATGAATTGAATACGTCAATCAATCCTAATTTATGTCATATGTTTGTTCCAACCCGCCGCAGAACCGTCACCGAACGATCACGCTCGTGCGCAGTAATTCAAATGTGTTCCAACCGAGATTTGACGGTTATCGGACGATCCTATTTGCGTACCAACCTACCTTGGGATCGTTTAGTTACGATTTCAGAACGGTAATTTCGGTACATGGTCCAAATTGAGAACTGTTTGGGTTTACTTGCGCATTAAAGCATATTGGCAGGGATTATCGATATTTAATAGCTGATTCTGGTCCGGCGTCCGGCCGATGCTTCTTTCTTGGTTATTTTTTACGAATTCGAATACGTGTGCGTTATACTTTTGCTTGTGAGTTTGTGTGGAGTAAATCGTTCGGAAATATTAAATTGTACAGTTTCATAATTATCTATAGATAATAATTAAGGATGAGTGACGATGGTATGACTGATTTGTTTACCTCCACTTCAGATAGTGACAATTTGGAGTTGCTGCCTAGTGAAAGGGTGAAAAATGAACAATATTTATGGAATTACTGGATTCTGATTCTCCATTTCAAGAATAATAATTATTATTATTGCAAATTGCAAACAAAAATAATAGGGTTATTTTATGAAATTCTAAACAAAAACAAAAAACCGATCGATACACGCACGCTTGACACTTTTGACAGTCCCGAAAACAATCCACAAAGCGTTCCAACGTTGATACTTTTTGCAAATTATTTGAACCGTCACGAAACTATTCGAAGTCCGCGCATGCTAACAAAGTGCAAAAAAAAAACGATTTGAGTACGATTTCGAAACGATCTCGAAATGCTGGTTGGAACAAACCTACTCTCATACCAAATCTCGTTTTTTAACTCTAAAAATAACAAAGTTATAAGGGTGAGCCACTTTTGAGACGCACCCGGTATATCTATTTAATTTATTGATTATGTAACGAGCACTTTGTTTACTCCAATGACTAAAGAATCCAAGGACAAATAACACCCGAGAGCAAATTGTGACGATGTCACCAAACAGTGCCGTGGCACATATTTTTCTTAACCTAGCTGTTTGAAGCAATATTTATATTTTTTGATAATTGTTTTGACTACGCCTATGGTGTATCATCCTAATTAATTACGAAAAAAACGTATTAAAATGTTAACAAAAGGTACAAAACTAGTATCGACGTATAGCACATATCAAGTACGTATAGATGTGAATTGAAATTGAAGAATAATTATCGAATTCAATAAGAAAACGCTAAAAAGTTGGGGTGGACTGTTTATTTACCTATGAAACAACTCCTGGCTCTTTCTTATCGCTGTTGCTTTTACACTTGAAAGCTGAACAACTAATCACCATTGTAATAAAGTTTATACAAAGTTTACTACAAACAAACTATTAAAAATCGCTAAAACTGTCGCTGGTGACCAAATGATGACTCATTGTTTGCCACCAAAACAAAAAAAAGCTCACAAATTCTGCTGTAGCCCGTATAGAAGCGTTACATGTCCTTATATTCTTTAGTCTTTTGTTTACTCACTTGTTTCGTCGAACTGTTTGAATCCATTTTTGCTTTTGATCAAAACGGTGTGAGAAACTATGAAGCTATAAAATGTTGTTTCGGGAAAGTTGAATATCCGGGAAAATTGAGTTATTGAATGTTATTGCACCCAACAACTCCCTACGCTCTCCTTTACGCGTTAACATTTTTTCGGCGATTTTATTAACATTTGAAATTGTCACAACTCATCGCGACGCGACGCCTAGTATGAATTCTTTTTCACTTATTTTTTACTACCCTAAACAGCGTTATATCACACAAACCACGTACTCAAGTGTTTTATAGTTTCAATAAGTGCTCTAGCAAAAAACTAAAATACTTAAATATTATGACAAAGCCACGACTTCAATTTTATTTTAATACGATCAACATGAAATCAGAGAAAATGTCTGATTTCTGCCGTATACAGCGCTGCGGTCGGAATTTTTTGAAATCAACTGAAATGCACCAAGTTTATAGAGGTGAGCCACTTTTGAGTAACACCCGGTATGTATATAGTTGCAGTAATCAAGTTAGCAGTGTTAACATTTTTATTTTTTTCTTGTTTACCTAAAAAATATGACTTTACGCTGGCGTTTATTAATAAGAATTGCGCATATTTGCGGTTTAGTATTTTCGTATTTTATCGGCTAACTGCAAAAATGTGGTAGATTAAAGCAAACATAGATCACACGAAATAATAAACAAAATATTTTGACTGCACTTAGTTTTCCGAAAACTAATCAGTATATTTTATTAAATAAACCGAAATAATACCATACAATCGAAAAAAAAACGGCGTCAAAGATGGCTCGGTAGTGATAAATTTTGGCGCGGTCAAGCCCTAGACGTCATTTACTTAGCCAGTTCTTGAGTTTTTAATAGCTCTTACTGCTAGTTGGCCTTAAGAAGCTTGTAATTTGTTTTTATATTGAGTGAAGATGATTTTTAAATGGTGTAGTTTAAAGTTCAAAAAACTTTCTATCCTTTTTTAATCTTGCTATAATAATTAGTGTTAATTTTTGACAAGTTTGATAATAAAATAAAAATAACAAAATAATCGTGATATACAGGGTGCTACAAATTCGAGGTACGAGCATTGGTATCTCGGTAACCGTAATAGATACGATTATGGTTAAATTGGGGCAAAGTTCCGTATGTTCACAAGATGCCATCAAAAAAGTCTTAAAATTTTCAAGGATTGCTGAGTTTTTTGGAAAAAACGGATTTTTTGGAAAATCAATTTTATTTTTTCCTGTCGTTAGTTTTTAGAAAATCAAATAACGAATTGCACATTCTCATAGCCACTTTATTAGAGCTATCTGATAGTATTTTTAGATTTTTAACTTAACTGATAATTTGTAAGATACAGAGGCCAACTTAATTGTTTTAAATACGGACATTTTTTATTTCAGATTTTGAAAGAACTCGGTCTCCTGAGTACAATGATATGCCAAATTTTATACTTTTTTTTTGTTTTGGGTATGAGTACAATGATGTGCCACACTTTATACTTTTTTTTGTTTGTTTTGGCTTGAAATTATTTACAATAATCAACATGAAATCAGAGACAAATTATTTACAATAATTTCAAGACCGACTCTGGTTTCTTAAATTATTTAATCTGATTATATTCATCGCAACAATATTGATCAGCGCTAATTAACATTGAATAAGGAAAATCGAGCCAATTGGAAGATTCAAATTAATAATATCCAGGTCAGAAATTTAAAGATACTATTTCTAACTTTTTTATTGTGAATTTGAAATCTCAGTGTACGATCTAATAATATACATAATATTAACCTTTGTTATTATAAATAAATCAACTTCTACACACTAGTTTCTAATGTTCTGCATGTTCGAAAGGGTTACCACCCTCCCTATTGAACAAATTTATTTTTCGTTCAATTTTATTTATAGCGCTTTGAACTTTCTTCTTATACTTCCGAATGTATTTTGTAATCTTTATTGTAAATGTTGAAATGAATTGATTTCACTTTTAGAAATGACGTCAAGTAATGTATAGCTACTTGGTGATAGGTCCAGAAACCTCGCTGGGCATTATACTGCTCTACCATTTCCAATCCATCTTCCGGGAAAATGATTTGATTGTTTACAGTACATCTGTTGGATCTGTGTCTATGAAAGGAATGCGGGCAAAAAACATTTAAATAAACAGCAATATATTTTATACGTCGATTTGACGAGTGCGTCACCGCAAATCGCTCCGCCCACTCACTTTATTGGCTACTTGCAAATTTGTCGAATTTTTATTGATGGGACGCGTCGTCTAATTTTTTAGGAAAAACATCGAGAAAATATCGTTTCCCCTCTCACGGATACCCCGGAGCTACAGAACGGACAAACGTACTGTATATTATATTATATTTGTATTAATTATTTTATATTATTTTATTGCATTTGATTTTCCGTATTCAATGTTTTACTCCACGTCATTGTTAAGTTTGAATGTTAATCAATATTGTAACGATGAATAGATTAAATATAAAAAAAAACAGGACCGAACTTGAAATTAGTTTAAATAAATTGTGTTCAAATGTCAAAACAAAAAAAATATTAAGTGTGGCATATCATTGTACTCAGGAGACCGAGTTCTTTCAAAATCTGAAATAAAAAAATTGCAGGTCCGTATTTAAAAAAAATAAGTTGGTCTCTGTATCTCACAAATTATCAGTTAATTTGAAAATATAAAAATACTATCAGATAGCCCTAATAAAGTGGCTATGAGAATCTGTAATTAGTTTTTTGATTTTCTAAAAAGTAACGACAGAAAAAAATAAAAATGATTTTCAAAAAAATTAGTTTTTTCCAAAAAACTCACCAATCCATGAAATTTTTAAAAGTTTTTTGATGGCGTCTTGGTGAACATCCCAAAGCGCAACTTTGCCCCAATTTAACCATGTTCGTATCTGTTACGGTTACCGAGATACCAATGCTCGTACCTCGAATTTGTAGCACCCTGTATATATATATATTTTTATTTTCTATTTTTTTCAGAATACTACTGCCCAAGGCTATGTCAAAATTCGTAGCCTTTTTCCAAACTGACCAAACTACTGTTTCCAAAAAGGAAGCTGTTCTCTACGCCTTCCTTCTGATAACTATCAACGTAGTTAACTGTATATATAACCACAACTACCAGCAAATAGTTATGGAGTACTCTATGAAAGTTAGATCGGCGCTTGGCTCGCTCATTTATAGAAAAGCGTTAAAACTAGGGTCAGGAGCCTTTTCTGACGCTTCCATGGGAAAGGTAACATCATACAGTGTGTTTGTATAGTCTGTGAAACGAATACTTGAATTTGTCAGTTCCCGCGGGTTTTTCTAGTGTTAATTTTATTAGGTTAGCAACTTGGGCCATGCTGACGCAATGCCGTCTCTAATAGAACAGCCTCGGAGCGAGATTTATGACGTCACGCTAGTTAGATAGGTACTACGGATTAATAAATATGTTGTAGAATATATGGAAAACATAATTATTCCTCGTATTTTTGGTTTGTATTTTAAAAATGATATAGTTTACATGAAATATATATAATATACAGTTAATAAATACAATATATATACCTATTTATAGTAATAAATATTTTGGCAAATAAACTATGAACCATGCAGCAAATCTGTTACAATATACAAATAATGAATAGGTACATAAGATAATGGGTAAAATGTAAAATATATTTTAAATTTTGGGGTTTGAAAATCGATCTAATTTAACAAAAAACATTCACTACCGTAAAATGGGGTGAATAGAAACAGTTTCGTAGGCTATTAGCGATATACCGGTTGATAAAAATGTGGTATTATTTTCCCGAATATTTTAAAACATGGGTCTTTGTTTGTTCTTTGCGTATACATATAATTTGATTTTTGAAAAATATGCATACAAATATTAAATAAAAATAACATTTGTGTTTCTATTCACCTGCTATTCGGGAGAATAGAAACACACATTGATGTTAATGTTTTTATCTATTCTATTTCCAACAAGGTGATTAGAAACAGTAAATTATTACATAGTAATAGTTAAGAAGTAGGTTTAACAATAATTAACAATACATATAATATGACAACTTACATGTACCAGCTTATGTATTACTTTAAAAATAAATATTTTATTTATAAAGTTTTCGCGCCATACAAAATAGGTGATAAATCGATCTCACATTTATTGATCAGCTGATTGACAGAAACAGTGCTGCCACAGATAAAAATATAGTTTTTACATTTTATTGTGTATTACCAATGATAGAAAAATTAGATATGTCGACTTTTTTTTACTTTGAATATTTTTAATCGTGATTTGATTTTTTTCAGAAATTTTGTTTCTATTCACCACTATGTTTCTATTCACCCCATTTTACGGTATCTACTAATAGTGATGTGTTATTATTTGCATTCACAAAATTTATATGTATATTTTGCAAGTATCAATGTTCGAAAAATTATATTTGCAAATAATACAATATCATAGAAAAAAAGGAGTCAGCGATGGATACGAAATAAAGATCGTCATTTTATATGTAAAATTATTCTAAAATGTTTGATTTTCTTGGGATTTAGGTTCGGGGAAAACGCTAATTAAGTTTTTATTTGGGTTTTCATTATTTTTTTTTTGGTTAAAAAAAACGTTTCGGCTAACATTATAGTCTTCATCAGTGTTGTGTCATATGAAAAAAATAGTGTCGAATATAATCCAAAAAATTACTTAATTAAATTTATTAATCCGTAGTATCTAACTAGCGTGATGTCATAAATCTCGCTCCGAGGCTGTTCTATTAGAGACGGCATTGATCTGATATTTAGAAATGTCAAAAGCTGATGAAATTTTACTTTTGATAATTATGACATTTCGTGTTGATTTTTGCAAGAAGTGGAAGAACTGTCACTTGGTTTATTATTTTCCTTTTCTATTTCACGAAAGTAAAAAGAGTTACCTATCTGATTCGTTCAGGCACTCAATTTAAAGAATATCAGTAACTTTTTTGACAGAGGGATTTTATATTTGCCATGTTGGTAAAAAGTAACGGTCAAAATTCAAAGTTCAACTTAGTGAAATAAATTAGTGGTTTCAATTATACTTTTTATGAGTTTATGTTCATTCATAATGCCTAAAAATACAATTAAAATTAGCAACAGCTTGCGGTAGTCAGTTGTATCCATAGAGAAAGCCTAATAATTAGCTTATAAAACAATAAACTTTTCATTTCTAACCACAATTTTTCTTGGCGGATGATAGTCAAAAACCAAAATGACATTACAAACAAATTTTGAAGTACCTGTAATTAGTAGCAAAAGTTAAAAGTTTGTTAACTTTTTCTACTAGTTGAAAATTACCTAACCTAACCACTAATTTTGATGTGCTAAATACGTACATTGAAATTAGAGGAAGAAACTTCTAGCCTAGTAGAAACCACTAATTTCCAGGTTCTGAAGGAGGCTTTATGAGTTTGTTAACTTTTTCTACTAATTGAAAATTACTACTACTAATTTTGACGTTATGAATGTTTACATTGAATTTAGATGAACAAACTTCTACGCTTAATTATTGAAACCACTAATTTGTTCCACTAATTTCGAGGTTCTGAATGCAGCTTGACGATTAAAAAAAACACTAACATCTAGTTTCCAGTTGGGTTCTAACGCAGTGTCAATTTTTCAAGAAATGAACCACCCCTATCACAAAAGTATCTACAGGGTGTCATTGAAATGGTGTAAAAAATCGTGGGGTGTAAAATAGTACTCCTAAAAATAGTAAAAAAAAGTTCCTATAAGTATAGGGCAGAAAATGCATATTAAGGGAGCTAGGGGCACTGAAAGGGTGAATTTAAAATACGGTTGTTTTGAAATTGTAGGCTTAAAAAACGAGATAAAATTTTGAAAAAAAATCCTCAAAAAAACAAAAAAGGTTCTCTTGTTGCACATCGCCCAGAGTGGCAAAGAGTTTGCTCTGATGGGTTGCTAACTAGTTAATCAACATAAACTCATGAAAGTTATGGCGCACGGTGGGGTATTAGCATGAAAAAGGTGATCGAAATTCGAAAAAGCAAATGTGTTTAAGATTTCCCAAAAAAAGATAAATGATAAGTTAAATCATCTCTGCCATGATGGCGTTGCTATGGGTGTGTTTAGTTGCATTCATTTGTTTCAACGAAACGTCAAAGTTGTTACTTCTCACAGATAAGAGGTAAATGGCTAAATTTTATGTTTAAAATTACAAATTGTTGTTGTTCTTGTGCTCTTTTTACGTTTATATTATCGTTTTGATTGAAAATGGCGCAGCAAGCTGCAGGTATGTATTCTACAAAAACGTATTATTTATTTTGATATTCTCTATACTAACGATTTTTTTTGCAACTAAAAGTTAGGCGTTCAGAAAATTTGATTAAATTTGTGACATTTTTATTATACTTAGAGATTTAGTTGCGCATTTCGAAGAATTCAGCATATTGTCTATATACGTTTTACTTAGTAAACATTGGGCTTTCATACAGTAAAATAAAATACTGCGACTTTTTTGCGATTTTGCTGATAAAATGAGAAAACATTCTTGGTTTCCTCTAATTTGCCAATCAGTGATATACTAATGCGAGGTGTAAACCGCGATGGCATTGTTGTGTACAAAGCGATCGCATTAGTGCCATTAGCAGTATAGCACAATTTGGCATTAGTAGCGACTTTAGTGGTATGGGCATTGCTCGCGGATCAGTCGTAGCATTAGTAGTAGTAGTTGCGATATTACTACTGGCACTGACCGTGGAAACACTGGAACAGTGATTTTTCTTTCTTTTTTTAGAATCGACGAATTATCCTTTATTTTGTTCAGATTATTTCCTCTTTAATTGAAAATAGCAATAATTTATATAAGGTCTACATAAAAAAATTTCGATCAACTATCAGTGTCAAATACCCCACTGTGTGGCGGTTCAAAAGTAACCAATTAGCTATCAAATAATTAATTGAAAAATCAAAATTTCATTATTTTTAAAACATCTTATTGCTTTAGAAAACGAAATAACAAAGCTATGGTTTACTCAGTACCGATTAATACTGAAGAGCAACTACGGCAACGCATTATTGGCTGTTCCAATCAAATTCGGGCAACACCAAGGATATTCCACAGGGTACGCAGATTTTGGAGAAGAAAAGCAGATGTCTGCATTGAAATGAATGGTGGTCACTTTGAACATTTACTATGAATGAGAATTAAGGAATGCATTATTTTAATAAGGAATTTTGGTAATTGTTTTATTTCGTTTTTAAAGTAAAAAGATGTTTTAAAAATCATGAAATTTTGATATTCCAATTAATTATTTAATAACTACTTGGTTACTTTTGAACCGCCATAACTTTCGTAAATTTATGTTGATTAACCAGCTAGCAACCTATCAGAGCAAACTCTTTGCCTTCAATTTTCTCGAAAACCATCACTCTAGGCGATGTGCAACAAGAGTAACTTTTTTGTAGGAAAGGGTATCTAGTTTTCAAAAAATGAACCCACGTTGGAAAAAAATAACCTCAAAAAAGTTATTCACGAAACAACCCCTTACCCTTGCAAAAACTACCCTTTCCGCTTTTCCAAATAATTTTTCAGTGTCACTATTTGATTTAGGATCAAAATTTATGGCAGAGGATTTTTTTTTCAAAATTTTATCTCGTTTTTTAAGCCTACATTTTCAAAAAAACCGTTTTTTAAATTCATCCTTTCAGTGCCCCTAACTCCCTTAATATAACAAAACTTTTTTTTACTATTTTTAGGAGTACTATCACCCCCCGATTTTTTTACACCATTTCAATGACACCCTGTATGGACATTATTAAATATACGTTTTTTTCAATTTTAGGTAGTTACCCTTATTACGAAAGATGTCTATAGTATAGATACAGCACTACAGTTTTTCAACGACCTCTGGATAGGAGTTATCCAGACCATTGTTGTAACTTGTGTTCTGTACAAACGAATAGGAGGTTCAGTTTTTGCAGGGATTGGATTTTTCTTACTCATGGTTCCTTTACAAGGTAATATACAGGGTGGTCCGAATTGTATTCGGGAACCTTTGGCAGCATATTCTGCAGATAAAAATAAGTAAAAAGTTCGTATTAACTTATGTCCTAAAATGCTTCGTTTCGGAGATACAGGGTGTAGAAGTATAATTTAACTGTTTTGAAGAGAAATGACTTTTCGTCCGTACCTGTATAAAACCCATCATCATCATCATTTAGTTTATACCGTCCACTGCTGAACAAAAGCCTCCCTTAACTCTAGCAATTTCCTTCTATTTTGTGCCACTTGAATCCAGTTTCCAGCCACCCTCTTAATGTCATCTGTCCATCGACTAGGAGGTCGTCCTCTGCTTCTATAGGCCTCGTGTCTCGGTCTCCATTCCACAAGTCTCTTTGTCCACCGTCCATCTGTCATCCTAGCCACATGTCCTGCCCAATTCCATTTAAGATGTAAGACAGATATCACCGCATCTCTTACTCCTGTTCGATTTCGTATTGTATGATTGGGTATTTTATCTCTGAGTGTAACTCCCAACATAGACCTTTCCATTTTCCGTTGCATGACCTGTATTCTATGTATGTTCTTTTTTGTCAAAGTAAGCGTTTCAGCTCCATACGTGAGGACAGGCAAGACACACTGGTAAAAGATCTTTCTTCTTAAACATATGGGAATATCAGATCTCAGTATATGCCTTAGTTTGCCAAATGCCGCCCACGACAAACCTATTCTTCGTAGAATTTCGTGGGTCTGATTATCCCTTCTAATACCGATCTCATGCCCTAAGTATTTATATATATATGCACTTGTTCCAAAGGTATGTAATTAATCTTTAAATTTCCACTTAGTACTAGGTTCGTCATGTATTGTGTCTTTGACAAGTTAATTTTCAAACCGACTTTTTCCGAAGCATCATTCAGCATATCCAGCATATTCTGTGCCTCCTGTATGTTGTCTGTTATTAAAATAATGTCATCTGAAAAATAGAGATTATTTATCAATTTGCCATCGATGTTAATTCCTGTTGAATCCCAGTTTATCATTTTTAACATACTTTCTAACACAGCAACGAATAGTTTAGGGGACAGTGTGTCGCCTTGTCTTACCCCTCGATCGATATTGAATTTATCTGTGCATTGATTTGTCGATATTCTGACATTTGCCGTGGCATTATCATATATATGTCTTATGATTGAGGAGTATCGATGATCGATGCGACTCTCACTTAGTGTCTCTAGAAGCTTCCGCTGGTCTACCGAATCGAAGGCCTTCTCGAAATCCACGAAGACAAGCATTAGTGGTCTATTATACTCAATGCATTTCTCGATAAGGACCTTGACTGTTAGAAGATGGTCATTTGTTCCGTAACCTGATCGGAAACCTGCTTGTTCGCTCGAAAGAAAAAAGTCTATTTTATTTGTCAAACGCTTGGTGAGTATTTTAGTAAATAATTTGTATACGTGGCTAAGAAGGCTGATGGGCCTATAGATTTTTAGGTCTGTAACGTCACCTTTCTTGTGTACAATAATGATGGTTGCGTTGTTCCACTGTGATGGGGTTATTTCTTCTTCAATGCATTTATTAAATAGGACATTTAAAGCTTTTTGATGATTTCTGGTCCTCCTTCTTGGATTGACTCTATTACCAGTCCATCGTCGCCGGCATATGTATAAAATGTATAAAACTACTGAGTATGAAATTATACATTTATGACGTTTTTTACGTAAAAATGGTTTCTTGGTAAAAATCATAACGAGTAATGGTTCCTCGAAATATTTGGAATAGAAATTATCAATACCCGTCATCATTGGCATAAATTAAACCTGTTGCCAAATAAAACACTAAATCACCACAATACACCAAAACACTTACTTTTACACTGGACGCGCGTTTCGCTGACCATGTTAGCATCATCAGCAGATGATTATAAACTCAAGTTAGATGATTATAAACATAGTTTATAATCATCTAACTTTAAAAAATGATAAATTTAAAAAAATAAAAAGTTCCTAAATTTACCATTTCAATCTAATAACTATTAACTTTTGTCAATATTATAACTAAAACACAAGTTGGTAGCGCTACCTACAAGTAGGAGCCATATTGACATCGAAATCAAATTTCTCATATCAATACACATCAAGACATGCACCAACTTTTAAAATATCGACTAATTGGAAATATCGAAATTATTTAGAAAAACCGGAATAAAAATGAAACTTCTACACTCTGAATCTCCGAAATGAAGCATTTTAGGACATGCATTTAAACTAGGGTTGTGCCACTTGAAAATTTCAAATGAAATTTTCATGTCAGCAACTTTTCCAATGTGAAATTTTCATATTTTAAAAAAGTGAAATTTCATTGAAATTTCAAGTGAAAGTTTCAATTCGAATTTTTCAGCATAGAGGTGAAATTTTCAGAAATGTATCGTGAAATTTCAACTTGCAGGTGAAATTTCAAGTGAAATTTTCATAAATCTCGCGAACTCCTTTATCGTGTTCGTATGTCGACCGTATTGACGTAAGTATCGATCGTTGATTTGCTCGATTTACTTGCGCGTCTGAAGAGGACCTGCGCTTGACATTGACAAATAAAAAACAGCAGTAGATGTAGATAGATAGAGTATATGATTTTCGTTGAAAATGTTGATGTATTATTAGATTTGTTATTTTTGTGCATTTTTTGTGTTTCACATTTCATAAAGTTTATTCTGTGACCTGTTTACCTACTTGTGACCTGTTCTGTGTTGATTCCAATTTTTAAAGAAATAATGGTTAAGCCCAAAAATACTATTTGGAAATATTTTTCTAATGATCAAAATTATACCAAAACAGTAAAGTGCATATTTTGTAATGAAATTCATTATAAAAATGCAATTCGTTTAGAAAAACATTTTTGTAATTTTAAAACAAAATTGTAATTTTCATGAAATTTCCAAGGTGAAATATTTAATTGTCAATATTTCAGGAAATTTATGAAATTTTCACTGAAAATTTGAAATTTTGAAATTTTCACTGAAATTTCCAAAATTTCAATCTCAGTGAAAATTTTATTATGAAATTTCAACATAAGGTGAAAAATGAAATTTACCCATCCCTAGACAAGACAGAAACATTCATGTTTTACGACAAAGTTGTGACAAATCCAATACGTTTCTGCGACATTTTTGTCTCATTTTTGTTTTGTTTCAAAATTCGGAGACTTTTCAATGTCCCGTCTCGAGTCGGTAAAGATCAAAGTGTCTACGTTTTGTTCGCATATTTTACGACAAGTTGTTGGCGCAGTGTGGATGACGTGTGCTGCCAACAGTAGGAGACCAGTGAAATCACACATGGTTAATAAAACTCATTCGCAACAACTAAACTTTTGACTTTGTTGTACTTTTGTCCTTGCGGTGTGGACGAATTTTTGTCGCAAGTTTGTCTTGTTTTTGTCTCAAAATCGTATCCGGCATTAGAATGTCTTTTCTGTTTGCCAGTTCGTTGCACATTACTTTAGTTTTTATTAAATTCATTTTGTAGCATTCAGACTTTATTGCTCTATGTATTTAGTATATTTACGTATTATTTGATAATCCATAATATTTACGAAATATAACGTTATATAAAAAAACAGTGAAGTGTTTGTTTTTAAAATAATGTTCGAACTGTATCTTATCGCCTCATTTTTTCGAAAATTATTCTAATCTATTTATACGATAATTGAAAACTGCAATTGCATTTCGCAACTCTGCCGACGTGCACTTCACATTCGTGTTTGTTTATGCAATCTTATCAATTTTCAAAATGCAATAGTGCGATAATCGATAAATAGTTTAGAATTACGGTCTTCCACTTCTATTGATGTTCGTTTTATTGATTTGCACACCTCTACTTTTCAACCAATAACATGCTTTAATGTTGATTAGTTACCATGGCAAAATTTCCGGAAATTTTTTCGAGGCGCCACGAAACTTTAGTGGAAATTTTTTGACAGTTGAAAAGGTAAACATAAGATCTACAATCATAATGTGAATGAACTACAATGTCTATATATTGAAATATTACCCATTTGAGTTTTAGCATTTGATGTAACTAAGGTTGGTAATATTTTTTATTTAAGGAAATATGTTAGATATACCTACATATGAATTTCTTCGAAATTGCCATATTCTAAAAAATATAGTTCTGCCGCCTTTATTTAACTAAAGCTGGTATTTTTCGGGTGTTATCTGGTTTTATATTTTCAATTTCTTCTTTAATGACTTGTTGGTTTACTTTTCCAAATCGCGACATTTCGCTATACACTTCTTACTCTACGTACAGACGTTTTAAAACTAGTAATAGCTTAATGACAGAATCGCAAACAAAAATGACAAAACACATAATATGTCAAAAACATCAATACCTTGGCCAACTTAACAAATTGAAATTATTTTAAAATGTCATGTTGGATTAATATTTTTTTTTCAAATTTAGGTGTGAAATTTTTTTACCGAATACCACGCAAGCTTAAATTATTCCTGGAAATTTTCTTTCGGGCACGAATATTTTAGGAAAATTTTCAAAATATTCGTGCCCTCAAAAAATTTTCCGAAAATAATTTAAGCTCTTGTGATATTATAAGTGAAAATTTCATTATGAAATTTCAACATAAGGTGAAAAATGAAATTTACCCATCCCTAATTTATACGAACTTTTTTACTTATTTTCATCTGCCGAATATGCTGCCGAGGTTTCCCCAATACAATTCGGACCACCCTGTATAATTAAAACACATTAAAATGAATTAGAGAGTTGATAATATCAACCCTTTATGATTTTTTTGTTGAAAGGTGTCTTGATAAACAACATCATTTTTAAACTATAAATGATATAATTAATTTTTTTATTCCAGTGTATTGTGGAAAATGCTTTTCCCAAAAGAGACTGGTGGCCGCAAAAAATGCTGAAAAAAGGATTCAGCTGGTTAAAGAAACATTCACTGCCATAAAAATTGTAAAAATGTATACCTGGCAAGAATATTTCCATAAGCTTATTACAACTGCAAGAATGTAAGTTATAATCCTTCATTTTACACCCTGTATATCTACGCTGTCGAAAGATACGTACAATTTATCTTAGACGCTATCCGAAACAAGAAATACGAATAGTCATTTTATTCGATAGTCAAGCAGTCTTAAGAGCGATCAACTCAGTAACCGTCAATTCGGAGTTGATTAAAGAATGTCTAGAGAAGCTGACGTACTAAATTCATCACAGAACTTCAATACGCTGATGACTGCGCTCTAGTTGCAAAAACATTACAGCAATTCCAAGAACTGCTGAACACATATACCTGGACATACGAGTCTTTGGGACTTAGTTGAACATCGGTAAAACTAAAAACATGTGCACTCCCCCAGAAAATCAAAACAACGCTATAAAAATCGGAGAAGAACTATTGGAATATGTAGCGGAATTGAATTGCCTCGGCAGTTTGATTTCGGAATAGGCCAATATCGATTCTGAAATTCAGCACAGGATTAGCAGCGCCTCAAAAGCATTCTGGAAATTAAAAGATCGGGTTTTCTACAATCATGACTTGAGCACACAAATGAAACTTTCCGTGTACCGAGCAATAATAATCCCCACCATGTTATATGGAAGCGAAACCTGGGTGCCGTACCTCCGACACATGAACGCATTAAACAAGTTACAACCAGGGTTCGGAAAACTACATCGTACTTTTAAAAACTACATAAACTACATTACATGTAGTTAATGTAGTTTATGTAGAGTGTGTAGTTTATGTAACCTATGTATGTAATTTTCAAATATCAAAGGTTTGGGGTGAGGTTATAATAAGTGGAAGCTTTAAAAACACATAATGTATTTAAGAAAAAAGAAGAAATATAGCTTTAAATATAATATTTACATTATATTATCTCTATTACACCTCATACAAAGGGAAAATATTCATAAAATATCAATACATAGTTTATTAACGTAGTTTTTTATGTAGTTAATGAACGGGAAAAGACGTAGTTTTTGAAGAAAAACTACACGTAGTTAATCAGGTAAATTATGTCTTAATTAACTACTTCCAAACCCTGGTTACAACAGAGATACTTTAGACAACTCTTAAGAATCAAATGGTACCAACATGTCTCAAATGTATCGGTCCTTGAAAAAGCTTGCTGCGAGAGCGTTGAAGTCATGATTACTAAATCCCGCTTGAGATGGCTTGGTCACGTATGCAGATAGCAGCAAGCACAAGATAGGAGACATTATGGAGACAAACTACACACATCACCTGACTACTATATTCCTCTTGTAGGAATAAAGACAGAGAGAGAGAGATTGCCAGCTTAACAAGGGATAGGAGGGGGAAGGGATTCAAACTTAAAGCAGAACTCAAGAGGCTGGAAGGTTCTTCCGGAACTTGGAATGGGAATTCTCCAACGGTCTAAGACACTCGAAGAAATTTCTCGGGACTTACGACCGAGAAAAGTCAAATATTTTCGTTGATTTACATAACAGAGCCTTGATAACATAAGAGAGCTTCGCAGTGACCTATTTTGTGCTTTGCTGTTTCAGGATTTTTACAAATAACTTTTATTATTACATATTTTTATATTTTAGAAACGAGACTGCCAAACTGAGAATAATTTATTATCTGAAGGCTGTGATTTTAACTGTTGGTGGACTAACCCATAAGTTGGCGTTATTTTTAACAATAATAACATACACCTTAGCAGGACATGCGGTTAATGCTGAGACAGTATACTTTATACAGCAGTGTTATAATGCATTGAGATCGTGTTACACTGTATCATTTCCAATGGGAATCAGTTCTTTAGCTGAAGTAACAGCAGCAATGAAGAGGTATGTTGAAAAAATATACCGGGTGGTGAATATAGGAAATCCCGTGCAAATTTTGAACGGTCCAAATATTGGCTCCCATATTAATTTTACAGCAAAGTCGTAAATATAACTTTTTAAAGATCTGCGTTTGCTGAATACACAAGCCAACTTTGTACAATTTTGGACAAGCCGATTTTAAGTTATTTAAGAAAAACTGCATCTATTTTTGAATTAAAACTTGACAGGTAACAATGCTAAACCAAGCAAATGCCAACACACCTTAAGTTGTCAACCTACGATTTCGGAAATGTTAAATTATATTTATTAAACGTTAAGCTTTTGCCTGTTTGTAACAAGTTTTAAATCACAAAAATGCATTTTGGATACACTAACTGTAAATTCTTCCCCTAGGAGATGTAAGACCTTGTCGTTGGTGGAGAAGCTCCTGGTCAGGTGCTGGGGGGAATCCCCTACCGGGGTCGGGAGCCTACCTCTAGACCCAATAAGCGACACAAGCTACCGTTTCGTCTACCCGGCCTGGGTCAACCAGGTGGGCTAGACGATCCTGTGAGAGTAGGTCTTAGCGGAGCAGAAGCACGGAGATACCTCCGACTGCTCCACGAAGGACTTGCTCCAGAGGAAGCAAAAGCGAAAACACCCCTCCGAAAAAGGGAGAGTAAAGAAACCAAGAAACAACCTGACTCATCTCCATCAAAGGGCAAGAGAGGGAGCGAGAACCTCTCACTCACAAAAGCCGGGATGGAAAGACGTCCAACACCGGGAGGCAAGCAGGGACGTATCACCAGCTTTGCCGCTATTGCTGGACAAGTGAAAATGGCGGTGCTGCCAAAGGATTTCCCAGAGGTTGCTCTGACCACCGACCAGCAAACGTCTCTAGAAGAGGCTATACTGGACGAAGTAGTGGCGATCGGATCGCAACACAACGATCTACAAAATGTGGGTCAGCTGCGTTTTGCGGGGATACACTTTCGGGTGGGTATGATCCTCATAGATTGTGTATCTCAAGAATCGGCGAATTGGTTGGTGGAAATCGCACGTAAGCTTAAAACAAATAACGGATGCATGCCAATCAAGCTTTAAGCTTGATTCTCATGCATCCGTTGTCCGACGATATGATGATACGATATTAATTTTATTGGTTGAATTTAAGGACTTCGATTGGTTAGAAAATTACGAATTTTTTAAATTTATTGCATTTTCATGCCTCCGTTCATCGGATATACGATTTGCTTTTGATTGGTGTCATTTTATATTTTCATTTCCACAACAATTTCGCTGTTTTACTTATTATAGTCTAAGGGCTAGCAACGTTTTCGAGAGAGAATTTTAGCAAAGCTGGTTCTTTAATATATCTTTTGCTATGCTCTCCTGAACGGAGTGCGGACCGTCTGGCTGCCATCGTATCAACGATGGCAACATCACACTTTATCCAAAATAGTTCAAATTTGGCATGTGTATTCACCATATGCAGATCTTTAAAAAACCTATTAACGACTTTGCTGTAAAATCAACAGGGGATCCAATATTTGGACAGTGCCAGGGATTTCCTGTGTTTCCAACACTTATAACCTCCCGGTATATCACGTTGTATGTTGTATAGTTCCTGTATCTAAAGAAGAAACCACGGCTTATTTTGCTGATCCATGAACGAGCAGCTTAAGGCGGGGTTTTACCTACTAAGAGTCGGTGACGTGTGTGAACATGTCCATTAAAATTAAATGCGACGAAATATGTTTTGATATGTTTCAGATTCCAGGCATTCTTGACAGCTCCAGAATTTAAGGAAAGAGATAGTAGCTCCGTGTCTATTGTTAATCCAAAGGTTTATTTAAACAAAGTATCTGTCCAAATTGATGGAAAGGAAGTGTTGAATTCTGTATCCATAAATCTAGAGAAAGGCTTACTGCTAGGTATGTTATAGTCTGTCCAACGTGAAGATCCTTGACAGTGATATATGTAATTTTAATTTCAAAGTAGTTTATTTTATTTTACAAAGAAACAAGTTGGTACAACTGGAACGCATAGTAGGAAATTATTATATTTAAAATTTGACTGACAAGTGATTACTTCAAAATATTGTGAATAAAACTGTATAAAACTGAAAAAATGTAATCGAGTTATTTAATTTAATAAAAAACGGTATGTGTTAATACAAAACAAACAAGAACAAGACACCACATACCAAAAAAATATAAAAAAGAACTATTTCTTACTTTCAAGCTTTATGAAACTTCCCGCATTTATGATTATATTTCTTAATATAACTTATGTACAAATACAAATTTGTAATATTCCGCAGGAATAAATAAAACAACATACATAAAACAAACTATTTTATAATTAATAACACTTACCAAATTTTATAGGTACCTTAAAGGTCGATTTAATTTTTTAAACCAGTACCTTTGGCATTATTTTTCTTGTGCAGTACTAAAATCCATTATTTACGTATCGTGTGATGTCGATATTTTACAGCTACTCCAGTTTTTAGTATGTGTTTAGTATGGTCCTTCTACCATATTCGAGATGCACTTATCTCCGACGAGATGGTATACGAACTTTAATGATGGTAACTTTATTGGTGTATAAGACTTTTTGCCTGGGGAGCGAGTATTAACCATAAACTGTGCTCTGTGTCTACAGTTAATTTTCACTCGATTTTTCCTCCACTTGACTTCAAAAGACACAAAACACACGTAATAACACGAATCAAAATGCATCATCTTCCAAAACGCAGGGTATTTGACAAAACTGACAAAAGTTGACACAAAATTATAACCTCTAATTTGGCAAGACTTTGACAAGCGTCAAAAATCTAAAGGCGAGTTCATACGCATCGGCGTCCGTTTGTCGTTCATCGTTCCGTCAAACCAATAAAATTGGAATACGATCTGTCATTTTTGAAATAAACCAATAAAACTGGTTAAAAACAACAAGAGACGACGCATGACGGATTTATATTTAAACCCATCCATAGTTAACTTAAAAAATGTTAGAAATTTTTTTAGTAATATAAATAGATTGGTATGGGACGTCATCGGTTTTTTTTCTGTCATCGTCTGTCGAAATCTTACCTGAGAAAAAAAAACAGAGATATACTTTTATATAGAATAGTTTGTAACGAAGATACTTTTTCTATCAATGCATGTGATTGCATTTGTATTAATTATTATCTAAAATAAAAGAAATTTTTATTTCGGTATATTGCCGAATTGTAAAAGAATTTTGATCGGTTTGGATCGCTGAAGAATTACAGTGGATACTTTCCGTCCATACCTGTATAAAACTACTGGGTGAAAAAATATACAGTTCCGTCATTTTTTACGTAAAATATGCCTCTTAGTAAAAATCGTTACGGGCAACCGTTCTCATGATATTTAGAATCGAAATAGTCAATACATGTCAAAAAACCGGCGTCCAGTTGGCTGGGAAATGACGATCGATGACATTTCCCATTTAAATTTACATATAAAATGACAGCGTTCTTCATTTCATAGCCATCGCTGACGCCGTTTTTTTTTTGATCATACGGTAGTTATTTGACCGAAATGATACATTTGGAAACTTTTTATTGTTTTAATTAATCATACATTTTTCTTTGAATTATTATTATTTTTTATTTATTTCAGTTGCCGGAAATATAGGAAGTGGTAAAAGTACACTACTAAAAACAATTCTAAATGAGTACCCTATATCAGGAGGAGATATATCCATATCAGGGACCATATCCTACGCTCCTGAAGAACCATGGTTGTTCCCTTCAACAATTCGACAGAACATTCTTTTTGGTCAACCATATGAACAAAGTCGATATGAGCAAGTCTTGAGAGTCTGCGCATTGACTCACGATATCAATATGTTTAAAGATCTGGATAGTACTATTGTAGGAGATAGTGGAGTAAACTTGAGCAAAGGACAGCAAGCTAGAATTTGTCTCGCTAGAGCTGTATATAAAAATAGTGATATATATTTGTTGGATGATTGTTTATCAGCTTTAGATGCTCAGGTGAATATGAAAATAATTTTATTTCTTACTGAATCGTCCAGTCCCCCCTTGGTTACGTTAATCATAAACACACACAGAGTCCTTCATCACTCCTTTGGGACATTATTAACGGGAATTAAGATACTATAATGCCCCCCCCTTTTATAGGTAACAATCATGAAATACAATAGAGATTTTGAATAGAAAACTACTCTAGTGGCGCATCTAGATCTAGAGTCTGGGGTGCTGGCAATATTTAAATAAAGTACAAAAGTAAAGTAAAGTAAAGATTTCAGTTAACGTCTCTTTTTTACACGGAATCCGAACCGCGGTCTTCGGCCATGTCATGGTCAATGGCCTACCGACTTGGTTTGGTTTGGTGTCTAAATCGACTCTTACTCACGAGATATCCGATCTCATCCGGCCTCGAACCGGCGCGGCGTGAATGAGTAGTGCGTCTCAATAGATTTTACACTTTTGCCTTTTTTTGGACAACAGCACGATACAGAGTTTCGAACCGGTCACCCGTCCATCCACTAGTATCGCCTTACGTCGCTTAACTTCGGTATTCTAATGGAAATCGGTGTTTCGACGTAGGTAGGCCGTTGCCCTAAATAAAGTACAACATTTAAATTATATTTTTGCTGAAAAGTTGACTGTGGAAATAAATCTACTTTCATTGGTTTGCATTTTCTATTTTGATCGGTATTTTTAACTTCTTTTAAGATAATTTTATCTTATAACACGTTTATTTTAAAGATAAACTTCTTTTTGGTAGGGATAATTACCTACCCGTCTATGCGCCCTTGAACTACTTTAATAATTTATTTACATTGCTAATGTCACATATAAAAAATTTACAAGAGAACAGTTTCATCGACATTCCCTGCTACAATATTTTTCTGTCCTAGCCATTGAAGATATTTTTTATATTCCTTTTGGCGAATAGATTCACTTTTAGATGGAAATAACGCTTTTCGTGCTTCTTCAGCAAGATCATTAACAAAATGCAACATTTGTGTCGTTTTAAAATGGGACAAAAATATAATCAACTTTATTTTTTAAATTAATGATTAAATATGGACCTGGATTTTTTATTTCATACGTTAGAAAGAATGCGATGCAATGATGCATCACACTTCTTCAAAAAAATATTGCTATAGTAATATTTCGTCACCCTAGATTGTTCTATATAGACCATTTCGATGAAACTGAGAAAACAAAGTTTAAAGTTTAAACTGGATCTGGATATCCGTGAATACTATAATAGCAAAATGGTTCTATTAAACATATAAATTAAAGGTAATATAAAAACCTATCAAACATTTATAGTATTTATTTTTCTTTTAGAAGCTTTATTTCAAGATATTAGTGATTTTAGATTTGGATATAGAACAAATGTGTCTATTAGCTGTGCATTGAGCCGATTTTAGGGATATAGAACTAAATAAGGGGATATAGAATAATATAATACTCATTTTAAGTTGATTTATTTGTATTTCAAAATATTATTTCAACACAAAATAACTGAAGTGGAGATATTAAGACATTAACTAAAAACAACATAAAAAAATGAAAACCTAAAATACAATAGCAGTATTATTCGTCTGCATTGTTTATTAAAAACTATCGTTTTTTTTCCGCCTATTTGTTTGGTATGTATAGTGGTAGAATAACTTAATCAGATTTTCAATCTGATTTTTAACTTTCATTGGATTATTTAAATGTTTTTTAGCTATCTCTAGTATTGATAGTATTAGAGAACGATTGAGCAGTCAATTGAGTTGAAGCAGCTGGTTTCACAAAATTCCAAAGTGTGAAACATTCGAATTTGCTAACAAATCAGGCAATCAGTGCTTTTCAAACGAACGATTGAGCAGTCGATTGAGTTAAAGCAGCAGGTTTCACGAAATTCCAAAGTGTGAAACATTCGAATTTGCTAACAAATCAGGTAATCAGTGCTTTTCAAACGAAAGATTGAGCAGTCAATTGAGTTGAAGCAGCTGGTTTCACGAAATTCCAAAGTGTCAAACATTCGAATTTGCTAACAAATCAGGTAATCAGTGCTTTTCAAACGAACGATTGAGCAGTCGATTGAGTTGAAGCAGCTGGTTTCACAAAATTCCAAAGTATCAAACATTCGAATTTGCTAACAAATCAGGCAATCAGTGCTTTTCAAACGAACAATTGAGCAGTCGATTGAGTTGAAGCAGCTGGTTTCACGAAATTCCAAAGTATCGAACATTCGAATTTGCTAACAAATCAGGTAATCAGTAGTTTTCAAACGAACGATTGAGCAGTCGATTGAGTTGAAGCAGCTGGTTTCACGAAATTCCAAAGTGTGAAACATTCGAATTTGCTAACAAATCAGGCAATCAGTGCTTTTCAAACGAACGATTGAGCAGTCAATTGAGTTGAAGCAGCTAGTTTCACGAAATTCCAAAGTATCGAACATTCGAATTTGCTAACAAATCAGGTAATCAGTGCTTTTCAAACGAACGATTGAGCAGTCGATTGAGTTGAAGCAGCTGGTTTCACGAAATTCCAAAGTGTGAAACATTCGAATTTGCTAACAAATCAGGCAATCGGTGCTTTTCAAACGAACGATTGAGCAGTCGATTGAGTTGAAGCAGCTGGTTTCACAAAATTCCAAAGTGTCAAACATTCGAATTTGCTAACAAATCAGGTAATCAGTGCTTTTCAAACCAACGATTGAGCAGTCAGTTGAGTTGAAGCAGCTGGTTTCACAAAATTCCAAAGTGTGAAACATTCGAATTTGCTAACAAATGAGGCAATCAGTGCTTTTCAAATGAACCGATTTGCCGCCTATTTGACAAACGAACGTTTAGTGGTGCAATTTCACCCGCTTAAAACCTTAATTAAAATAAAAACAGATACATACATTGTATGTTAGAGAGAAATAGATCGAGAATAAATGGATATAGAACAATCTAATTTTTATGCATAGTAACATATTTTTTGATCTGGTATTTTCTTTCATTATCCAATTCTTAGGATAAAGAACACAATAATTCTATTTTTTTATTACAAACTGTAGGATGTAGCCTTAAATAGTGATTTTTGGATGTAAGCCATTATATGGTTTCGCGACTTTCAAATTAATATGGGTATAGTACAAAATATTAGATTTTTTTCTTTATTTGTGAATTTGGCTATATTGTTTATGTTGATATAGAACAAGCTAATTCTGCATAAAAAAATGGTGTATGTAACTTTACCCCAAAAGTGGATATAGAACAACCTAATTCTAGGGTGACGATTTTTAAAGCCTTAAATTTTGAAAAGATTAAAAATGGAACATTTTGATTTTTTAGGTAAATAAGCATGTCTTAAATGAGTGTATACGAGGTTTCTTGAAAGACAAGCTCGTTATATTAGTAAACAACAATGTAAATAATATTAAATCCATGCCCACTGGTAGTGTGTTGTATTTAGAAAATGGTAGAACCCTGGATCTCAAACAACAAAACGAGGCTTTAGATAAAAGAATAACTTACTATATTGATGAAGGTAAAAAATATGTGACACAAGATTCTCATTAAACTTTATTAAAAACCTCGAAATTAGTGGAATAAATTAGTGGTTTCAATAATTTGATTTAGTAGAAAAAAAATTAAGTATCAAGTATAATTGAAACCACTAATTTGTTCCATTAATTTTGAAGTTTTATTCATATATGACTTTCATTACTTTTTTATGATTAAAGAATCTATAGATACAATAATTATTATTTCAGATATATTATCCCATAATAAGTCACTAATGGACCCAAACAATTCAAATGAACAATTTGATGCCACCGAGAGTGACCAGCTGTTGAACGACAATACTGTTGACGCAAAGAAAAATCTTTATCATGAGGAAACCAAAAAAGGCAAAGTATTATGGAAAAATTACGTAGCATATTATCGATCATCTGGAGGAATCTTAGTGTTGATTTTGACGATAATCGTGTTTTTCTGTTGCCAAGCAGCGCTTTCAGCATCTGAAAAATTGATTAGCATTTGGTGAGTAAGATTATCCTATTTTTTTTCAAAAGTTTGTGAGACTCTCCCGTTTTTGCGAAAGCTCACGGACGCCGAGTTCGGTTCCTCGGGCGCCACCCCCAACGTTTAAAGTGTTTGAGTGACCACTAGTGCCAATACAGGTAGCTTTTATACAGTGGAGATACCAGGGAGTGATGAGATGAAAAGAAAATAAAACACACAATTAACTATAACGTAACACTAGGTTTTTATTTAACTAATTAATTATGTACAAAAGTAATCAAAGAAGGTTCACGTCCTCGAATTGTAACAATAGTGAAATAAAATGTATATTTAGAGACCCGTAAAGTAAAATTTACAATAACAACCGTGTACCTCTAGAGTTTTGATCGATTATTCCCGATACGTAACTCCCTGACTGATTCTATCACGCGAATCAAAACGCGTTCCCGAAATGACGTTCTATTAAATAAGACGACGTGAGTTCCTGATCGGCGTCGAATTTAGCGGCGTCCTAATGAACATGGACACGTAGATACCGGAGCAACACACTCTACTACGACGCGACTCTCTAAACGGCGGCGACGTCGTTACAGGCGTCCCGATGGTCACAGCTAAATATTTATCGGAACGGCGTCCGTTTTGACAGCGAAACCCGGACCTCGGATTGAAGTTAACAGCGTCCCGTGGGATATACAAATGCGAGTCCCGGATCTATCGCGAAGTTAACAGCGTCCCGTGGGATACACAAACGCGAGTCCTGGATCGATCACGAAGTTAACAGCGTCCCGAGGGATACATAAACGCGAGTCCTGGATCGATCGCGAAGTTAACAGCGTCCTGTGGGATATGCAAACGCGAGTCCTGGATCGATCGCGAAGTTAACAGCGTCCCGAGGGATACATAAATGCGAGTCCTGGATCGATCGCGAAGTTAACAGCGTCCCGAGGGATACATAAACGCGAGTCCCGGTGTGACGTAGACGTTAGCGACGTCTCGGCGAGTTGTACGTCGTTTGGATAAGCGCAGCCCGCACACACACCGCCCGGTCAGGACAACCTCGGGATTTCGGCGAGATCTCGTCCAGCGTCACTGATGCAGCATGCCGTCCAGACGACACACCTAGAGAAATACGGGAGCTACAAAACCAGCCTCGGGAATTGGGCGAGATCTTGTTCTAGCTCCATGAATATTCGCGACCCGTGCGTTTACTGAACTACCCCGACTGTCCCTTAAGAAGATGAATTAATTATTAGCCCGTAATTAGCTTTCCCCGAGAGATACACTGAACCGGAGCAGATGTCAGACAACCTTTAAAAGAAAATGACATCGTTCCTGGCGACCTGCCCGTAGCACAGCGTAGTCCCTTTTTGCCTGCTCGGCAATCCTGGCAATTTGAATATTAATGAAGAAAACTACGAACTCTCGTCTCATCAACCGAAGGATACGTCAGATCGGAGCAGATGTCAGACAACCTTTAAAAGAAAAGGACATCGTTCCTGGCGACCTGCCCGTAGCCCAACATGGTCCCTCCTTGCCTGGGCGGCAATGGTTGTTCTCCCGCGTTTTTAATATCCTAACAATCCCGTTAACTAACTCCCTTATCCCTATAACACGTCCAGGTAGTCGAGTAAACGCTTAATAACAATAAAAATAATACGACCTACTCTCGATCACTTTGGTGGTAGGTGCTTACCTTAAACAGTGCGGCGACAATCGGCGGCTGGCAGCAGGACACTTGGCAGGGCACTCCGGACTCGAACCTCACTATTTCGCGTGCGACCACCACAGGCGACCACCAACTGACTACCTGGAGCTGTTGCAGCCAAGGCACAGAATATACACCATACAGAAGCGACAAAGAACTTTGAATAGCATTGGTCAAATGGGAACTAATTGCGTGACGTCACGTTTGACATCCGTGCGCCTTGAACAGCATTTCACACTGAAAGAAAATTGTTAGATTTTAATAGAAAACGATGAAAGGCAGGTTTATTTAGTTTTTTAAAACTAGAGGGATTTAAATCAGTATTTTTATTTAGAATTAAAAATAAATAAATAATTATGAAATATATTTTTTAGTCTTTTATGCATAACATCTAGAAATAATTATACCTGTGGTCGTGAATTTTTTTTTGGTGTATAATTCTGTGACGTCACGTTTGACAGTTAACCAGCATTACCCACTCCTAAAAATTTTGAAGCAAATCTCTTTGTCGCTTCTGTATGGTGTATATTTTGTGGCCAAGGTACTCGACTGACGCTCCCCTCCACTCGGCCTGCACTAGCAGAGTAGCGCAAACGGCTCGGTTTTTCGCATTAAACTATAGCGACCAAAACCGATCAAAACTCTCTTACAAAATGGCAATTAAATATTTAACTTATTTAATTCAACAATATGAACACTAATGAAGTTCATTACAATAATGAGTTAACAATAAAATACATTGACTGTCATTATTAAAAGAGAATGAAGTCTCTATTATTCTAGTATAATATTAACACAATATACAGGGTGTCCTAGAAATTTTATGAACTTCATTACAAGTTACCCAACTTTAGATTGTAGATTATATACAGTAACCTTCTAGAAGTATTGTGTTACCCTTTCTTGAATTATAACTTACCATACAGTCTCAGGGGCTTTGGTAAAAGCCAGTATCTGAGACGGTTTGGCGGAGGTTAATTCTCCATCTCGGATATCAGTTGTACCAAAGTTTATGGCACGAATGGTTGTCGTCTCGGCGCACTCAGTGATGAGGTGTTCTGGTGTTTCAACAGTTTCCCCACATAATCTGCATTCGCCATTGTTTCCAAGCTTCTAGTCTACTGAAGTGTTCATTAAAGTCATGTTAAAAAGACCATGCCAATCCAAAGATTGTTTTTACTTAAATCCAGGAAAATCTTTGATTTTTCTCGGTCGTAAGTTGTGGGAGTGTCTTAGGGTACGTTTATGTTGGAGCTGCGATAAACGATAGAAGCAGGGAATTAGCGCTGCTCTTATCGTTGCTCAACTGCCAAGCGTATCTCGACGCGTTGCTCCAATATAAACACCTACATATAAATTAATATAATAATATTCTTTGCTTCGCTACTATCGCTGCTCTTATCGTTTACAGCCGCTCCAACATAAACGCACCCTTAGATCGTTGGATGATACGTATTCCAGGTTACAGATGGAGTTTTCCAGGTTCTTAAGTTCTGCTTTAAATTGATTTCCAGTTGTTTTTGGCCCAGTTAATGGAATATTCGCGCCTTTTCTAGCTAGATTATTTCTAAGGAAGACTTCTTATCGTATTTTTTTCTGCCTAATTTTTCTTTGCCTAATTTGTTCAGCTTTTCTAGGCATGACCTTTTCTAGGCATAGCAACTTCGAATTGATGGTTATTAAGTTGATCGCTTTTAAGACTGCTTGACTATCGGATAAGATGGCCGTTTCTTGTTCCTGATGCTTCTTATCTAAAATAAGTTAATTGTAGCTACGTATCTTTCGATAGCGTAGATTTATGCATGAAGAATGTTGGGGTAGATGCCCATTGGTTCAGAGTATTTAGTTTTAGGCCCAAATACTATCCCTGTTTACCAGATTACTTTTGCTGTTCTACAGATGGTTGTCATACAGGGTGGTCCGAACTATAGTCCGGAAACTTCGGCAGCATATTCTGCACATAAAAAGAAGTAAAAAAGTTCATATAAATATATGTTCTAAAATGCTTAGTTTCGGAGATACAAGGTGTAGAAGTTTCGTTTTTATTTCCAAATAATTTCCTGAATTTGATATCAATATGACGCCTACATATTTTTTAACTGGTTTGAAGAGTAATAAATTTTCGTCCGTACCTGTATAAAAGTACTAAGTAAAAAAATATACATTTACGAAATTTTTACGTAAAAAAGGTCTCTTTGTAAAAATCGCTACTAGTAATGGTTCTCGAGATAAATTGACATAAATTAAACATGTTGACTAAATAGTTACTAGACTGAAATCATAAATTTGAAATGTTTTTTGTGCCAAAAGTTCAACAGAATCTGTTTTATCACCGTTTTTTCGCAGAAAAAATTATGATTAATTTAAAAAAATAAAAATTTTATAAATTTATTATTTCAGTCAAATAACTATCTACTCAACGAGTTTATTTTTTGTCAATAATGACATGTATTGACTATTTCCATTCTAAATATCTTGAGAACGGTTGCTCGTAGCGATTTTTACCAAGAGACATTTTTTACGTAAAAAGTCACGGAAATGTACATTTTTTCACTCAGTACTTTTATACAGGTATGGACGAAAAGTTATTACTCTTCAAAACAGTTAAAACACATGTAGGTGACGCCTCCTACAAATTGGAGTCATATTGATATCAAAATCAGATTTCTCATGTCAAAAAACTCCGAGAGACCAATTTTCATCCAAATATTGACATTACTTCAAAAATTATTTGGAAACAATCGAAATAAAACTGAAACTCTTGGAAATACCCTATATTTCCGAAACTAAGGATTCTAAGACATACATTTATAAGAACTTTTTGACTTGTTTTTATCTGCAAAATATGCTGCCCATGTTTTCGGAATACAGTTCGGCCCACCCTGTATATCCCATCTCTAAGCTACTTCCTGTAATGTTTAGTAGATGGCAAGTAGCTATTTCCTGACCATTCTTTAGAAGGACAGGAAAGATCAATCCCATCTACTTCTGCTGCTTTATAAGGCTGAAAGGTGTCAATAACCCAATTTTAGTACATTTTTAATAAATTTAGCATATTTCATCAATATCATTTTTAGGGTAAACAAAGAACCAGCACGAATAAAAATGATGATTAATAATAAGACTGAAACTGAAGAATATGCGAAACTCTTATCCCAAACCAACAGAACAGTGAATTGGTACATTGGAGTCATGCTGTTTGGCACAGCACTGACTTTGATCAGGTCCATTATGAACTTCTACTTTTGTACAAGGGCCGGAAGAAAGCTTCACAAAGTACTGATCGCTGGTCTATTGAATGCCAGAATGGTTTTCTTTGATCACCATTACATTGGCAACATTGTAAACAGGATATCCAAAGATTTTCATACGATTGACGAGAGCATACCTTTCATTATCTATGAAAATTTCAGAGTAAGTTTCCAGGAATATTTAGAAATTATTCTACTGTACTGTATTTGAGAATATATATTGATTTTATTTTTAGTCGCTCTTTATTGTTTTGGGAACAGTAGTGTTGATAGTATCGGTAAACAAACTGTTCATAATATTGACAGCAATTATGATCATTACTCTATACTTTATCCAAAGATATTACATAAATACAGGAAGAAGCTTGAAACGCTTGGAAGCTGCTAGTAAGTGTATCTTAATATATCTTAATAATATGTTCTGTATGGTGGTAGGTATGCTAGTATGGTATTTTTTACATTATTTGTTAGAAAATTACATTCTACAACCTTTGACATTTTTATTTAATGTAACGACAGTCATAGATAAATGAAACAAGTTTAGATTGGAAAGTGCCCATAAGGACAATGTAAATACTATTTGGCGCTATTCTTGCAACACACAGTGTGAAATTTACGGGGTGTAGCTGGAAAAAAATATTTCAGCGACTCTTTGAATATGAAATATTAGTCTTTTTCGTTTTTATATAAGAAATTTTATCAAGGCAAGGTAGATCATGCACCCAAATAATCGTAGTAGGGCATATACAGGGTCTCTCATAATGTTTGGTACATATGGGAAAGTTTTTTACTATATTATCAGTGATTCATAAAATGTTTTTGATGAATGGACATTCCTTGAATAAATTTTACAATAACATAGGACCTGGGATAAAGTTGGTAAATCGAATTAATTCCACCTAGAACGTCAAAGTTTCACACTGTGCAACGGTCGCGACCCAAAGCTTTTGGTAATTTCGGATCGGTTCGGCTTTTTCCGGAATTATGTCCTCAAATATTATTTATTCAAATTTATTATTATTTTCATTTAATTTTATAAATAAAATACAATGCATGAAGAATGGAAACAAAGTATAACAATACCCATTTTTAAAAAGGGAGATAAAACAGACCCAGCAAACTATAGAGGAATAACATTACTGAGCACCTCGCTAAAACTTCTGACTAAGATCATTGCGGACAAAATCTCCTCAATAGTGCCAATAAGCGAGGAACAACAAGGATTTCGAAGAAACCGATCAACTACCGATGCACTATTCATACTCAGGCAACTAGTTGAAAAATCCTTAGAATATAACTCTCCAGCCTATCTATGTTTTATAGATTTAACAAAGGCCTTTGATAGAGTTCAACTAAAAGACATCATCACCATCTTGGAAAGCAGTAATGTCTCGAAAGAACTCACAGAACTTATCAAGGACTTAAACACAAACACGACAACCCAAATAAGAACAAACTTTACCTTAACGCAGCATCTTCGAACTACAACTGGTATTCGCCAAGGCGACAGTCTCAGCCCTCTGTTATTCAACACAATCATGGATCAAGTAATAAAACCGTCAAGAATACTGGATTAGGATATCGAATGGGAATGCATAAAGTAAACATATTATGCTATGCCTATGACGCAGTAACCTTATTGCAGAGTCAGAGTCAGAGGACGACCTCCAAAGAATGCTACAAGCTTTTTAACAGACAGGCAGAAAAACTTAACATGCAAATTTCACACAAATAAGACCAAATGCATGACCATTACAAAGGAGCCTCTACGGTGCAAATTGGTAATAAAAAACAAAACTATTGATCAGATAATGTCATTCGAATACCTCGGATGCAAAATTACAAGCTCAGGATTCCTGGAAGAAGAAGTAAGGAAACAAGCCAATAAAGCTGCCGCAATATCAGGACATCTTAAATATCCCATATGGAAAAACAAACATTTGAGTACAGAATGTAAGTCAAGAATATACAAAACCTGCATACGACCAGTGATGACATATGGTGCGGAAACCAGAGCTGAAACATCAGTAACAAAGAGAATCCTGCGAACTACTGAAATGAAGACCTTAAGAATGATAACTGGATACACATTGAGGGACAGACAGAGAAATGTAGACATAAGAGAAAAGTGCCAAACAAACGACGTTGTCAGATGGATAAGGCAGAGAAGAAGAGAATGGAACCAGCATGTCATTAGAATGGGCCCCGACAGAATGGTCATAATAATTCGCAACAACGTACCCCATGGCAGAAGACCTACTGGACGACCACCTAAACGTTGGCAAGACAGTTGGCAGTCAACCTCGCAAGAGTTGCTTAGACGAGTTGGAAACCGGAACTAAACAGGCGATACGCCTTCTAAAAGAAGAAGAAGAAGAAATAAAATACAGTTTGTTGCATACAAAAAACTTTATTTTATATAAGGACATGTATGTGAAATACCTATGAAACATTGGAAACCGACGTTATGCCACGATCCACGATGGTTTTTGCAGTTCATAACACAGTTTTTTAGTTTTTAATGCCACTTTTTCACAATTATCACGGATTTGGTAAGCAAAATTTAAATTAAACGCACAAGATAGCAACAATTACTTTGAGAATGGACACTTTAAACACTTTTCGGTATTTTTTCAATAAGAGCGGTTTAAATTTTGAAAGATTTTATAATTTTTGAAGATTCTGACTTTGACAATAGAAATTTATTTCTGTTATTGTTTGCGGTTGTTCTTAGCAACCGCTATAGCAGCGCCAGATCGCGTACAACGGTCGCGACCCAGAACAATTATATATTTTGACGGGCTTTCCTATCTAAATTTATTTCGTTTATCTATGACGACGACAGTTTGACTCGCGAAACCAAGTATGTGGTACCAAATTATATGTAAAAAAATACTTTTTCAAAATATAGGTATGCTAATGAGCCACTCTCGTTCGATTTAAAAGAAATATCAATTCTCTAATTGGTTAATTATTAGTTAATTTATCAATAATTTTTGATAATTCCATTTTTAGCGCGAAGTCCAATGATCGGATATGTCTCTGCTTCTCTGGAAGGCTTGCCAGTAGTTAGAGCTTTCGACCAGGAAGGTGTCTTGAAACACGAGTTTGACAGGCATCAGGATCTCTACATTTCAGCCAACTATATGAATTTAAGTTCAATAAGAATGTTTGCCTTTACCCTTGATATGGTGGCCACTTTTTTTGTGTCAGCTATCGTGTTGATATTTGCCTTTTGGCTAAATGGTAAGTACTCGTCAAAAAAAACTTGAACGGTGTCGCCATCATGGATCACTGAGCGATCCCTTCCTAACAAATACAGGAGTTAGGTAGGGATGTGTCTTAGCGCCTCTCCTATTCAACGTCCCATACAGCACGTCCAAATGAAATTACGTTTCTACAAGAGAAACACATGAAAAACAAAATATGTTAAAGTGAACCTAAGTGTTCATCTAGTTCTAACATATACATATGAGATACACGCAGGTTTATATTGATAAAATTGTGTGATACAGGGTTTACTAGTTGTATACCGTGTGCACACAGGATTCTAAAGAGTTTTTTGTAACGTAACAAATAATTATTAAAATGATGAAATCTGACGTCGGTATATGAGACATACAATGTATAATGTGTTGTGCTTATAGTACACACCTTGTAAAAATGTAACGTATACACATAATATAAATATCTATATAGACACTTTGTAATAGTGTACTGTTGTGTCTACATTCTAGCATAAGGTGTGCGCACGCGCGGATAGCCTCAGCGTAGACACACCGACCAAGTGTATCTTATGTGTCCTCTCTCCTTTCTCCTTTCTAGAAGTGGTATGTGTTAGCAGCCATTATTGTTTTATCATTCGGAAGCTCTATATAAATGTTCTGTTTGTGTGTAGTTTAAAAGAGATTTAAAGGTAAGCACAAGTTTTTAATTACCTTCCTAAGTGTATTATTAATATTATAGTAGCGACTCTTCCCGTACTCGATACCCAATTTACCAAATTTTGACTCCAATGAATGAAAACTCCAAGTATTCTCGTATAATGATAAAAAGGTTAGCTCTGCAATATATTTTTTTTTAATTTGGAAATAATAAAAACCTAAATAGACCAGTGAAAGAAAGATTTAAACACTTCAAAGAACTTCTTACAGTGATATTCGGTAAGTTATTGATGGATCAATATACAGATATGTTTAATATTCAATAATCAGTTTCATATAAAATTTAAGGGTGAGATTGTTAATCTGGAAATACAATACAACAAAGTCCAACACAGTACCCGATGAATGAGTATGCTAACAAACTAACTGCTTGGAAGGAAAAGAGGAGAAAAAATGACTAAACGAGGTCCACCAAATCGTGGCGATATACAGTACGTCTGTCCGTTCTGTAGCTACGGGGTATCCGTGAGAGGGGAAACAAATTTGCAAGTAGCCAATAAAATGAGTGGGCGGAGCGATTTGCGGTGACGCAGTAGTCAAATCGACGTATAAAATATATTGCTGTTTATTTAAATGTTTTTTGTCCGCATTCCTTTCATAGACACAGATCCAGCAGATGTACTGTACCAGTGTTTACCATTTTAGTATGTTGTTATACTAGGTACATATATTTTTAATACATTTTGATACAAATTCTGTTCTTTTACAGTGTTTTCTTTTGGAAAATACAAAGTTTTGCCTTCCTAATTTTCGTTCTAAAAAGATATAATTGGGATTATTGAATAAATAATTCTTAAAAAGAACGAAAAGTTAGGCATCAAAACTTGTATTATTTCCTAAATTCGTTCATAGGAAGTACCGTATGATCGAAAAAAAAACGGCGTCCAGTTGGCTGGGAAATGACGATCGATGAGATTTCCCATATAAATTTACATATAAAATGACAGCGATCTTCATTTCCCAGCCAACTGGACGCCGTTTTTTCTCGATCATACGGTAGTTTTATCTAGCACAAGATGTATATACGAAGCAAAATACATACGTATACACGCGGTAGTCACAACTGCAATGTGTAAACAGAGTTTAAACGTAATACACAAGCAAGTAAATGTGATTTGATGTGCTGTATGGGGTATTCATGGCAGCGCTCTCCATTATAGTAGAGAGCAAACTGCAGGAAAAATGGATATAAAATGGACACAGATACAACGGCGGTCTGTCAACATAAAAAGATTCAGGGCAAAAAAAAACACAAAATTCATCACAGAACTTCAATACGGTGATGACTGCTTTTGAGTTGCAAAAACTTTACAATAATTACAAGAAATGCTGAACACATATACCTGGGCATATCTGGGCTTTGGGCTTTAAGCTAAATAAATAAAAATAAAATCACGATAAAACTAAAATCATGTGCACATCGCCGGAAAATTGCAACAATGTTATAAAAATCGGAGAAGAACTATTGGAATATGTAGCGGAATTCAATTACAGGCAGTTTGATTTCGGAAAAGACCAATACCGACTCTGAAATTCAGCACAGGATTAGCAGCGCCTCAAGAGCAGTCATCAGCGTATTGAAGTTCTGTGATGAATTTTATACGCGTTTTTGAGTCTTTTTATTTGCCTCTACTATGTTTTTCTCCAGTATATTAATTTTCTTACACTAATTTTATTTTATTTTATTTTCTAGGTGCATCAGCTGGTGACGTTGGACTTGCTGTTAGCCAGGCTATGTTATTGACGGGACTTTTACAGTGGGCAATACGTCAAGCAACAGAGATGGAAAGTACCATGACTTCTGTGGAGAGAGTACTAGAGTATGCTGAAGCTGAACCGGAGGATAAATATGGTAAATATGGACATTGGCCGAGAAATGGAAACATTCGGTATGAGAGTGTTTCACTGACGTACCAAACCACTGGGGAAGAAGCTTTGAAAGATATAAGTTTCGAAGTTCCAGCAAAGAGTAAAATTGGTATTGTTGGCAGAACTGGAGCAGGAAAAAGTTCTATAATTTCCACACTCTTCAGGCTTTACGATTTTGAAGGAAGAATCTTAATTGATGATGTAGATATTAAAGAACTATCTCTAGACTTACTTCGTTCTAAAATAGGTATTATTCCTCAAGATCCTATCCTATTTTCTGGAACAATAAGGACTAACATTGATCCACTCAACATCTACAAAGACTCAGAAATCTGGAATGCTTTGGAAAAGGTCCAGATGAGACCAGTGATAATGAGTCTAGACCAAGAAATTGTTGATCACGGACAAAGTTTCAGTTCTGGTCAAAGACAATTGTTGTGCCTGGCTAGAGCACTGCTTTGTAAAAACAAAATCATCATTTTGGACGAGGCAACAGCTAATATGGATTTACACACTGATAAGTTGATTCAAAGTATTATTCAGGAGAGTTTTGCTGAGTGTACTGTATTGACTATCGCGCACCGACTGTACTCTTTTACGAATTCTGACAAGGTTTTGGTGGTTGAAGATGGTCAAATCGTGGAATTTGATGATCCAAAAGTGTTAATGTTGAATGAAAATAGTGTGTTTTGTAGAATGACAAAAAGTGCAGGTGTATCTAATGATTTTTAAAGAATTTTTGTATAATAAATTATTTTTTTGTAGTATTTTGTGTATATTTTTTTGTTATTTCTCAACTCCCTTCCTACTTCATTACTTTAAAGGAAGAATCTTAATAGATGATGTAGATATAAAAAAACTATCTCTAGATTTTCTTCGATCTATAAGATGTATATGTCCCGAACACACAAAACTGTTCTCCAGAACAATAAAGACTAACATCCAGCTACTCAACATTTACAAAGTCTCAGAAATCATAAATGTTTTGGAAAAAGTCCAAATGAAACCAGTGATCATGAGTCTAGGCTAAGAAATTGTTAATCACAGACAAAGTTTCAGTTCTGGTTAAAGAAAATTGTTGTACCTGGTTAGGGCACAGGTTTGTATAAATAGAATCATCATTTTGGATGAGGCAACAGCTAATATGGATGCCACTGATAAGTTTGTTCAAAGTATGATCCAGGACAGTTTTGCTCAGTGTACTGTACTGACTATCGCGCATAGACTGTACTCTTTTACGAATTCTGACAAGGTTTTTGTTGTTGAAGATGGTCAAATCGTGGAATTTGATGATCCAAAAGTGTCAATGTTGAATGAAAATAGTGTATTTTGTAGAATGACTAAAAATGCAGGTGTATCTAATGATTTTTAAAGAATTTTTGTATAATAAATTATTTTTTGTAGTATTTTGTGTGTATTTTTTTGTTATTTCTCAACTACCCTCAAACTTCATTACTTTGAAGGAAGAATCTTAATAGATGATGTAGATATAAAAAACTATCTCTAGATTTTCTTTGATCTAAAATATGTATATGTCCCGAAGGCACAAAACTGTTATCTATAACAATAAGGAGTAACATCGAGCCACTCAACATTTACAAAGACTCAGAAATCTGGAATGTTTTGGAAAAAGTCGAGATGAAACCAGTGATAATGAGTCTAGACCAAGAAATTGTTGATCACGGACAAAGTTTCAGTTCTGGTCAAAGACAGTTTTTGTGTTTGGTTAGAGCATTGGTTTGTAAAAACAAATCATTATTTTGGATGAGACAGCAGCTAATATGGATTTATACACTGATAAGTTGATTCAAAGTATTATCCACAAGAGTTTTGCTGAGTGTACTGTACTGACTATCGCGCACAGACTGTACTGTTTTAAGACTTTTACGAATGCTGACAAGGTTTTGGTGATTGAACATGGCCAAATCGTGGAATTTGATGATCCAAAAGTGTTAATGTTGAATGAAAATAGTGTGTTTTGTAGAATGACTAAAACTGCAGATGTTATCTAATGATTTTTAAAGAATTTTTGCATATAAAATTTGTATATGATTTCTAAGATGATTTCCTGCTAATATATTCTTTTTTTCTTTGAGAAAAATATGTATTAACTCAGACTAGATAGAGACTACATTTTTTTTATCAACACGTGATTTTTTAATTCAGATAATTCTAAATTATCAAAGTTTGATAAGATATAATAATTTTTTTATTACCTTTTAATGCATAAATCTTTTAACTTTCCACTTGAGTTTATTTATGTCTAAAATTAATTTAAATTAATTTAATACAAATAGAGAGGGTGTTAATACAAATATACAGGAAGATTAATAAATGCAAAATGTGTGTCGTTTTAAAACGGGACTAAATATTTATAGATACTAAATTCAGTACGAAATAAAATTATCTATATACCCCGTGAACTGTAGTGTGAATAAACTCGGGCAATTATTGTCCTTATTGGTGTTAATTACTGAGGGCAAACGTTGCCCTCAGTAATTACCACCTTTATAATTCCATTGATATACAAGGTCCGGCAATAGTGTATCGGGCATCTGTAGCCCCTAGAATAAAAAAAAACTTCTAGATGGTCGTCGCTCAAAAAAGCGTGAGTGGACACCCTGTATATTAGGGTGTGCCAAAAAAAACTAACCTATGGAATTTATGGGTTAAAATGAACCTGATAACTGTGCTGATAACCAGGAAAAAAATATCCCCGGAAGGCAGGATTTTTAGCTCAATTTTAAAAGGTGTCGGTGAACATTGAAAGTTTTCAATAACACGTAAAAAAATCTTTTTCCATTAGAAGTACCATAATTTTGAAACGGTTTACGATAAAAAAATTTACATCGCAAATTCCAGTAGAGCATAAAATTTCCTAATAAATCTATCTGTGAGTAATTATTTTTTTCAGTTCAATCGTTCGTATATTTGAAAGTGCTTTGAAAAGTGAAAAAAATCACTAAATAAACACTAAAACTGCATTTTTTCACTTTTCAAAGCTTCCAAATATACGAATTATTGAATTGAAAAAAATTACTCTCAGATAGATTTTTTAGTAAATTTTATGCGAACTGTATTTACTACACTTATCTATCGAAATATATTTACTTATATCTTAAGATTATGTAATGTGATCTGAAAGGAAGTCAAAAATGCAATAATATACAGGATGCTACAATTAAAAAAATCATCCTGATCCACTGACACTTTTTTGAGCCACCCTGTAGATGTTAAAATATTTTCCTGAAATACACTTTAGGTTTGCACTTAAAGTTTTTTATTCTAGGAGCTACAGATGCTCAACGCACTATTGCCGAACCCTGTATAAATAACTATCACATGATATTTGTTTCTCTAACATTCGAATTTAACTATTTTAACTGAAAACTGGCAAGTCACTTATAGCTGTACCAATAATCAGTGTAATCAGTTATAAAATAATTTTTAACTATCATTGATAGATAGTCTAAGGAATGATGTCTCTATTCGGTTGTTATCATTTTTCAAGTATAATAAGTACACTGATACAATAAGTACTTAATGCATATTATTGATTGAATCCTGCAATTTGTGTTACAAAGTTATAAAATTAATTATGGACTATGTTAAAATAGTTAAGAACAATGAAAATCCTAGAAAAAGTGCGAATTTTTTTTCTGTGATTACTTTTTTGTAAGTAATGTGTGAGTTTTTATAAGAACTTTCGCCAAGTAGTTTATCTATAATAAATTAAGGTAATGTTTTAGCTACAACTTCACAATTCTAAATAAAGGCAGAAAAAAGGATTTGGACGAAAAAGATGTGTATAATGTTTTGCCACAATTTTCAGCAGAAGAGCTGGGAGATGATTTAGAAAAACAGTGGGAAAATGATAAGAAAACTCATAAAATACCCTCACTATGGAGGTGTATATGGAAATCCTTTGGATGGACTTATATTGTATATGGAATTTTGCAGTTGATTTTTGGTGTCTTTATAATGTAAGTAAACCACACGATGTAGTATAAATCTGAATCAGAAAACAAGTATACATATAGTATTATATAATATGAGGTAATATACAATAAAGCCAAAACAAGAGTAATGATATACAGTACGTCTGTCCGTTCTATAGCTACGAGGTATCCGTGAGAGGGGAAACGATATTCTCTCGATGTTTTTCGTAAAAAATTAGACGACGCGTCTCATCAATAAAAATTCGACAAATCGAGTAAGTGCCAATGAAAACATGAGTGGGCGGTAACGATATGCGGTGACGTACCCGTCAAGTCGACGTATAAAATATATTGTTGTTTATTTAAATGATTTTGTCCGCATTCCTTTTGTAGACAATAATCCAGCAGACGCAAAGCAAAAAATGCTAGAAGTATGTTGCAAAAATTCTTTATTGTACGATTTCATTCAAATTTGGTAAAATCATTCTTTTGCCAGTAGCCCGTATGAACCCAGTTAGTATCTGCTGACTTGAGATTGGCTGGGGTGGTGGGGGGGATTCAAAATGGAAAAATATCTTTTGACTAATAGAGCTACAAAATGCGGTAAGAATATTTTACATTTCACTAAATTTTACGATTTTTGGCAGAGCCAAGATGAAACAGACAAATATTGAGCAATTATTACTCCTCCAGCATATACAGGGTTTGTTCAGATGTTCTAAATGTGAGTGCATGTCAAAATTTAAATATAAAGTTGAAATATTATTTCGGCTAAGATAACATTTTTCAAAAACAAATATTGCATATAGTGTTGTGCCTTAGAAATCCTGTAAATTGCCCAACTTTCTTATTTCAAATTAGTACCCAATTTTTTATTTATTTTTGATATTTCTCCTAGAAATTGAATAATTTTATGTAGCATATCCTATACCTAATTTGAAATAAGAAATTCTAGCAACCAAGCCCAGGTTTTGAAGCACTTTGGATATATAAAATATAAATTTTTGGCAAATTTATTCAAAACCACTTTTATTTGAGACATTTTTCGGATTACGTCAAGGTCATAAAAGATAACTGTTGTTAATTGATAAGAAATTACAGGGGTATACTAAAAATCAAAAATCGAACTTTTATTCAAGATTGTTTGTCATTTGAATAAGTTGGGTCTCTAATAATACCATGTAATATGTGAATAATATTTTATTATTATATTTTAACATACACAATAAGTAACAATATTCTGAGACTTAAACAATAACGATTTCAAAATAACAGAACTTATACCTATTAAAAATATCTAAATTTTATTTTACCACCTACTATTTACTGATATTTTGTAAAAGAAGAAGTGGGTATTGTATTTTTAGGTAGTGAAAGATAAATGGAATATATTTATATTAAAAATAACGTAATGTCAAAATGTTGTAATTTTTTAAAACAGTCATTTGATTATTAGTTAACTAGTGTGTTTCAAGTTCATTCTAGCTACTATAACAATTAATTTATGAGAAGTATCCATAAAAGGATCTGATCAAAGCACATACGCATTGGAGACATACGCTTCCAATAAGTTTAAAGTTGCGTTAGTTTTGGTTGTTTGACTTAACTTTTTAAGATGAATATATGCCACTATCTAAAAAAACCTTAAATGATTATGAATACTTTGACCTTTACCTAGTTTTATATCAAAGAATCAAAATAAAAGATCCTTTTTGGTTATATACTTGGCATTAAATTTGTTTCTTGAATCTACGTAAAACACATTATGACAATTTCACAATAATTATCTGACAGTAGCTAAGGTCGTCCGATTCAATTGTTATAATACTATGTAATATGAATGCAATCTAACTATTTAAAATATTGTAGAAAAAAAGGCAGTTATTGGACACAAATTAACTGAAAATGTAGGTTTTGCGCAAAGTTCGTTTTACAGCCCTTCGAAAGAGACTCGAATATGTTTTTTGTTAGTTTTATGTGGTTTCCTCTTAACTAATATGTTTCCAATCTAATGTTATTGCACTATAAACAACTAAGAACTAGAATTATCAACTATAAACACAATATAATATACTGTATCTTAAGCAATATGTAATTATTTAACAATTATTTTTTTTTTGGGAAATAAAAACTGGTACTAAATTTTTGATGATTTTTTATTTAAATTGTAAATTAACAAATAATGGTGGATGCTACGTCAGAAAATTATACAAGTTTATTTTAGCATATAACAGGGCACTCTAATAAGACGAAGTATTGATCGAACTTAGTAACAGGATATGCAGTAGTAGCTATTGCTAAGTTAAATCACATTGTAGCCTCATCTTTTGTGGCCATTTTGTTTTTTTAATCACGACATTATTTCTGTTTGTATTGGAGATACTGCTTTAAAACGAACGTCTCGGAAAAATGCTTCGCATGCAAAACCGCGATTCATCCGTGAAAAGGACTTTATAGTACGAGAGCTAGCAACGTCGGAAAAACAAGTATTTTAAGACGTCTGGCTCTTTGATACATCTTTTACAATGCTCTCGAACAGCATGCGGCCTGCTGGTAAACGTTGCGTTCCCTACTGCGCATTGAAAGAAGATCCTATATTTTTATTAGTCCTTTAAATTCTATAGTCTGTCCAACGAGAATATAACTATACATATATGAATATGATACCTATTTATAATTTGACTGACAAGTGATTACTTTAAAATATTGTGAAAAAACTGTAAAAACTGAAAAATGTAATCGAGTTATTTTATTTAATAAAAAACGGTATGTTTTAATACAAAACATTAGAAAGAAACAAGACACCACATTTAAAAAAAACATAAAGAACTAAAATTACTTTCAAGCTTTATTAAAACTTTATGCAAATTATATTTATCAATGTAACTTATGTCTTTAATACTAATTTGTAATATTCTCAAACTTATCCCCAAATCTCAAACATAAATAAAACAAACTATTTATGAATTAATAATGCCACTTACCAAATTTTTCAATATAAAGGTTGATTACTTAACTTTAATCTTACTTTTTAAACCAGTACCTTTTGATATTTTTCTGCAGTCCTAAAATCCATTATTTACCTATCGTGTGATGTCGATATTTTACAGCTATATTCAATTTAAAAGTATGTGTTTAGTACGGTCCTTCTACCATATTCGAGATGCACTTATCTACGACGAGATGGTATACGAAGAATATAAACCAGTATATTATCAATTTCTATGAGCAATATCATTTTCAAGGAAATCTATTCCTAATGCCAATTTAAAGACACAAACACACGTAACACTTTCTTCAAAATGCATCATCTTCCAAAACGCAAGGGTATAACTTGAAATAATTGACACAAAATTTAACCTATATTTGGCAAGACTTGACATCAAACCCTTTGAATAAGAAGACTAATCTGCATATAAAAAATCTTAGGTACATTCGATGGGCCTCAAAAAAGCCGACTTAAATTCCGGTTTATCACTATAGTTCTAATTTTGCGGCTTAAAAATACAAAACTTGATGTAGGGTAGACGGGAAAGACAAAATAATTTGATTTTATTTTATTTGTGAATAAATGTTGGTAGTTATTAAAATTGGCCAAAATATATAACCTAATAAAATAGATAACTTTATAATAAGTATTTATTAACACAAACATCCGATACGCTACTTTGCAGGTCAATCAAATTAACAATAAAAATCTCTTTGACATCTAATCTTTGACAAGTAATAAATAAAAGCTAAATGCAAGAAAAATATATAATTTAGTTAATTTAAGTGAATTTCATAAATGATCGGCTTACTAGCGAAAAGTTGTTCCATTATTTCACTCAATTTTTGCCGAGATCTACCGCACGCTACACAACCAACTATTTTATGTTTTCTTTTTCGATACTCGACGCCCATAGTGTCACTGTTAATTTAAGTTCCTCGACAATTTCCATCTAGATTTTTTGGGCCAGTCAACTATCAGTAGTAGAATAAATAATAAATAACATAAAATCACCCGTAAAGACTGACAAATCACAAAATTTCAAATCAAATTCAAATGTGTCAAATGAATCTCAAACAGAACTGTCATTAGATCCCCACCCTAGATTTTTTTTTTTATGGTAAATTTTTTCCGCCCAACGCATGAATACATGGATAGCATTATGCTCCTTCCTTAGTCTTCTTATTCAAAGGTCAAACCAAGATTGAAATACGATTTGTCATTTTTGAAATAAACCAATAAAACTGGTTGCAGTAGACGACGCATGACGGATTTATATTTAAAATCATCCATAGTTAACTTAAAAATTATTAGAAACTTTTTTAGTAAAATAAATAGATTGGTATGGGACGTCATCTGCTTTTCTTCTGTCATCGTCTGTCGAAATCTTACCTGAGAAAAAAAACAGAGTTATAGTATTGAATATAAAATGACATAAATCGAACATGTCTCCATAGCGCAGTGCGTAGAGTTTCCGACAACGAACTGAAGATTCAGAGTTCAAATCCGGGACAGGTCAAAGACTTTTTTATTTTTATTTTCGTTTATATTCTGATAGTAAAGTATTAAATATTTGTTTTTTTTAATTACCAGAATTATTTAATACTTTACTATCAGAATATAAACGACATTACAAATGTGGGTACAAATACGTATATGTTGAGATCGCACATTGTTATCTCTGAAATTAAGCATTTTTAGGGCATAATACCTTTATACGAACTTGTTTACTTATTTTTATACGCAGAATATGCTGCCGAAGGTTACCTAATACAGTTCGGACAACCCTGTATATAAAAGATATATTTTGTGCGTGATGCCTATATTTTTTTAAATTATATAAGAATTCTTGCCACTTAACTGCTGATATAGAAATTTAATTCTACGCTGTGTTTGTCATAATGTGGATCAACCTGCTCTCACTACCGGTTTCGGAGCCCTACTCCATCATCAGGTGAACTTGGGCAGATCCACAAAATGACAACCACAGCGCAGAGTAGTTAATTCCTACTTGTCGGAAAGTATCGGTTAGATACTCTGGTTGTCATTTTGTGGATCTGCCCAAGCTCACCTGATGATGGAGTAGGGCTCCGAAACCGGTAGTGAGAGCAGGTTGATCCACATCATGACAAACACAGCGTAGAATTAAATTTCTATATCAGCAGTTAAGTGGCAAGAATTCTTATATAATTTTATTATATACCTATACTGCAAGAACTTTGTTTTCTATTTTATTATTTTTTTTAGTTTCGTACAACCCATGGTTTTCGGAAAATTTGTGGCGTACTTTCAACCAGAACAGAAATCTATTACTTCTAGAGATGCCCTTTTGTATGCCTCAGGCATAATAGGTCTTAAATTATTACAGATCTTGTTTGAAAATAATTTAGCGCAACTAGTGACCGAGTATTCTATGAAAATACGGACAGCAGTAAGCTCACTGATTTTCAGGAAAGCGTTGAAAATCAGTCCGTTGGAACTCTCAAACATCAGCATAGGTAAGACCTTAAAGAGAGTATTATTTACTCTATATTTTTCTGACTAGTAATTTGGTTTATGTTTAATAATTATATTTTCAAATCTGTATTATCGAGGAGTTCGAAACATCTTCTACATTACCTAATACTGTCATAAATTGTTGGCAATCGCCTCAAGGCCCACAAATTTCACACTCACTTTAAAATAGTGCCACAATCACATTCGCAGTCCCACAATCACTGTCGCAATCTGACAATCGTATCGACCTTTGAATAAAAGGATTAAGGAATGAGTATAAAGGTGCGTCCACATTGGTCGTGATCCTGCTTGCTCTCTTGCTTCTGATTGTGCTTGCGTTGTTTGCGTTTCCTGTTTGTCGTGTTTCTTAAGATCTTTTAAGAGACAAAGAGAAAAAAGGCGGTGTTGGATATCTAATAATTTCAAAAGTAGATCCCAGCACAGTGAAAGTCAACATTTACGCGATTTACAAACAGACAGAATGTTTTTTTAATATTTTTTATCGCATGTCCGCTACTGATTTTGAAAGACTTAACTTAGTTGGCCCCCGTATAGAAAGAAAAAATACAACTTTTAGGAAGTGTATTCCGGTTAAAGAAACAGTTAAATAAAGATTGGCCATAACATTAAAATTCTTTGCAACTAGAGACTCACATACCAGTTTGGGTTATTTATTCAAAGTTTCCAAGCAAAGCATTTCAAAAATAATACCAGGTGTATGCCAAAATATAAATAAAGTTCTCAAAGATCAGATTAAGATAAGTAAGAAATATAAATATAGAGATATATTTTATTAAAGGTACATTTAATATTATTAATCCAAGAACAAAATACAAATATTTGTATTTCTGAACAAAATAAAATAAGAAAAAAGATGATAGTATCATCATACTGCAGTAAATACCGAATCCTATGAATGAAACCAAACTAAAAACTTAACAAACAACGCAAACAGCTTGATCGCTTCGAACCGCCGTAAAGTATGCCCGCATGGCTCCGAAGCGTCTCTTTTGGTGCGTCCAGACCTGATGAGTCGAGTGCGAGACGAGAGCAAGACATTTTCTATTCATTTTTTGACGCAAGCCTGCCGCTGGGCGCCAATTTAATCATATCCGGGAGGATATGATTAAATTGTGTAAACATGTCCGATAAAAATCTGCAGCAAATAATAACGCATAAGTAATAATTTTTGTATCTTTAACATGATATTTGGTTTGTCGTATTTTATTCATCGTCGATTTTTTCCCTTTTACCCTTCATTTGTTTCGAGACACGACGCCTTCTACAAAATTCGTTTTTTAGAACAAAATGTTAAATAGAAATGTTATAGGAAAGGTTAAAAAGCACATTTGAAAATCACTGTAGAGTATACAGGGTACTTCAAAAAGTGTTACGGATATACCGGGTGCGTCTCAAAAGTGGCTCACCCCTATAACTTTTTTATTTTTTCAGATAAAAAAACGAGATTTGGTATGCTAGTATATAACATAAATTAGGATTGATTGACATATTCAATTGTTTTCGGCCACTTCCGGTTTCACCGGAAATAACTACAACATGTGATTTTTAAATGGGACCCTCGGTATTTTCTTACTTTATTCGAGAAAAAATAACACTATGACTCACTCACACGCGGTATGTTTTAATAGGAATACCCTATTTTTTATTTTATTAGATTCTACGTGCAATTCGGTAACTTTTTTTGCATATCATATTATATACATATCTAAAATAATCGATTTTGTAATAATTCAATTTGTTTAAAGAAATATTAGATTTCGGTGGTAAAAAGTGCCAGTGACGCAAAATTTGTAAATTCTATTAATAGAATTTACAAATTCTATTTTAAATAGTCGAAATTCATAAATATATGTTGAACACACTGTAGCATCTAACTCAAATATCTTTACCTATATCTCTTTCTTCGTCCCTATAAAACTATCAAATTAAACTAACTTAAATAAAACTATTAAATTAAACTAATTAACAAATTTTAGCACTCCAACTTGAGAAACAATAGCATTAATGACAATTTTTTACGATTCTGAAATCTAACATTTTTTGTTTAAGCAAATTGAAATATTACAAAAACTATTAGTTTTAGGTATATATCATTATACCTCGCATTATACATAAAAAAAGTTATAAAATTTTACGCAGAATCTAAAAAAAATAATGTATTACATTTAGAAAACTATGTTATATCCCTAATACTATTTTGAACCACCCTGTATACTCTATAATAATTTTAAAATATGTATCTTAACCTTCTCTGCAGTTTTTCTATTTTTTTAATAATTCTCAAAACAAATAAAATAATGAACTTTATCGTTGTCTCACCCTGTGTATTTAATTTACTAGGTAACAAGATTCAATAATAATTAATCTTCCTATAATAATCTCCTTCCTGTATGTTGCCAGTAGAGAAATATTTTTTTACATTTTTCCCAAGTTTTATTCACATATCTACACACGCATCGTGTTTTTTAATATTCCTTATCTTTTGGATTGCATAACATTGGTTTTTCTTTATATAAATCGATTAATTTCAGCTGATCTTCTTCCTGAAAGTCTCCATTTCAATATGCGCTATAATATTAGAGCTAATATCTCGCGGTCGAGCGAGTCTACCAAAAACACGTCCAGACTTGGCTGCGAGCTTTCTTTGATCTCGGCCGTTGATAAACCGACAGGGAAGGGACAGCAACGAGGCTCCGTGGGTTGTCTCGCAAGACGGTTGCGAGGCTCTTGCGAGACCCCTCCATCCTTTGAAAAACACCGCAAATTTCGAATGTCTCGCGCTCGTCTCGCGCTCGACTCCTCAGGTCTGGACGCAATAAGCTGCGTATAAATATGTCGAGACGAGTGCGAGAGACACCCGAGACGAGTCAACCTCAAGCGGATTTGAGGTTGACTCGTCATATTGTAACGGGCTCTGAGCTTCGAGCCGAGCCTATGCCCAGCCGGACGGCGTTGTCTCCGTTTTTTTCCGGAGCCTTTGGCGAACCATCAAAAGGATTGGGGCGTCTATTTAACCAGTGGCGTATACACCGCGGCTCCGCGGAACAAGTGCTTCGAGTCTCAAGGGGCTCGGATTCCACATCCCATTTTTATATAAAAATAAATAGTCTTTCCTTTATTTGTAATAATGCATCCTAACTAGAAAGATGCAATTTTGTCTTCTCTAAAATAGTATAGGTAAGTTAGCCAAAGTGGGTAAATCTCATATACAAAGATTTATTAGTGATTTCTTTTATAAAAACATGAAAATTTTATGAAAAATGAATAAACGTAATGAACTTTTCGTCGAGTTATTAACGGCTCAAACGTAAATTATGCGCTATTTGTGCTGAACGGAATTAAAGATGTAAAACAAGCTTCTTTACATATAGGATACATAGAAGATAAGAGAGGCAAATCGAGAGTGTTGAAAAAGGTGGCCATGCTCTCAGAAGTTCCTTACGGTACTCTCATAAATAAAGGGAATCGACAAAGAAAGGAACGATTCGATATAGAAAAATCCAGAAATTTGAACTATCCAGACTACTAAGAAACTTAATTTATGGCAAATATGAAAATAATAAAGTTCCCGCCATAGATATAATTAAAAAAAAACTCTCTGAGCTTTAAAAAAACCCTGTTCAGAAAGCACATTACGGCGAAGGTTTAAAAAACTGCATGGGAATTAGATTTAAAATTATATACATAATAATATTTTAAAAATTATTAATAAGCGTGCTGCAATGATGGAAAGCCATAGAATGATAATGTGGCGAATGGAATACCTTGAAAAAATATACAACTTTAGAAATGAAGAAATGCAGATATATTATTTACAATATTTGTTCCAGGTTAGTTATTGGCACTTAAATGTAGATTTAAATTAATAATTTAAATCTTAATTACATAAATTTCTAATTTTTTAAGTAAATAAAGTCGAATTAGGTCTTATCTTACAGCGCTTTCAAATGGAACGGAGCGTCCGCGACTTCGAGCAAGTACCATGAGCTTATATGAACAATTTCATTTGGGTTGCGTATGCTCCGTCCGGATGAGCTATCTTGAAAAAACATCCGTGCGGACGCTCTGCGCGTACGGTCCGCTCCATCTGAAAGCGCTGTTACTCTATTTAAAAATTTTATAGATATACAAACCACATACAAAATATATTATTGAATAAAATAATTAAAGACTCAAAAAAACGGCACTGGCAGAAGGCTCCGCCGCCGCCGCGCCGCTGCCGTGCCGTTATCTCCAGGTATCTCAGTCGGCGTTCTCCAGTTTTTTTAATGTAAACAGTTCGAATATAATTTAAATTTATCATGAATTCCTTTAATTTATCTAGCTTGTTTTTTTACCTATTTTGAAATTAAACAAACATATACAGGGTGTTTCAAAAAACATGTTCCATCTCTCGTGGGGAAGTTCCTCACGTAAAAATAAGATTTATTTTTTATATCAACCAATCCAATTCTGCTTTGATTCGTAGCTACAGGGGGTTAAAATAGGGTTCCCAACCGTCCTCTATTCCAGAAACAGTCCTCTTTTTGATCTGATTGTCCTCTTTTCTCTCACGTATTGAAAACTTTGTTACATACTAACTTCAAAATCTAAAAAATATTCGTTTATCGCCACAATGCTTTAAAGAATTGTTAATCTGTGTCTTTTATGTAATTTTATGTTTACTTACTGTTAGTTTATGTCTTGAAAAAAAGTTTGTTGACAATGGTTTGCTTTATTTTAATAAGTTTTGAGTATAAATATTTTTGTGTATTTTAAATATTTATCGCATACCGTTTATATAACTTTTTGGTAAATTCTCGACATTTGAGCGACGTTTCAAAAATGTTTCGCCTGTGCCTTTTTTTATCCTCTCGCCCCTATTTTTTATTTTCAAAGTTGCCAACCCTAGGTTAAGTGTTTTATCATTTTCTTCCAAGTGCTTTTAGTAATTTGAGATCGTTTGATGACTGATTTAGTTCTGATCCGGGTAGTTTTTTGTATAAAACAGTGCCACCATCGTCGATTTTTTTCGTTAAATGCGAATAAGAAAATATCCTGATTATATTCTGGCCCTATCCCTTATTATTTTTATTTACAAGCGATCTTAAGTTTATAACATATACATATATTTTATTTAATTGTTAACATTAGGGTAGTTTTACCAATTGTGTATGTGTGGAATTCCACTGATATGTGTTTTAAGTTGTTTGTTAAATTTTTAAAATTTTTTGATTGTATTTTGCTCTCTTAACTTTGTAGTGTCCTGAAGATGCAAATAAATTTTGCGAAACGTCGACAAATTTAAAACAAAGGACTTCTGTTGATTTTTTTCGATCCTAATCCAATTAAAAAACACATTATACTTAAATTTATTAATTAATTTTTTAAAATATTGAATGGTATCGAATAATACTTTAATATATTTATCAATATTTTAAAGTATCGATACTTTATATTCAATACAACCGATACCAAAATATCGATACTGCCTCAGTATCGCACAGCCCTATGAAGAATTTTGTGGGTTCGCCAAAGGCTCCACTGAAAATGGATAGCCGCGAGACAACGCCGTTCGACTGGGCAGGGACTCTGCTCGAGGCTAAATCGCTCGGCTCGAGGCTATAATATGACGAATTCCGCTTGAGGTTGACTCGTCTCGTCCTCGTCTCGGCATATTAGTACGCCTTTTGGAAAGAATTTGCTATAGCCTCGTTTCATACTCGTTTCGGGTTTGTCTCGTACTTGCCTCGGCATATTTATACGCGGCTATAGATGTACCGCGACAGAGCCGAACAGTCGAAACAGACATTTTATGTGATTGCAAGCACGTGGAGCAACGCGAGCGTCGCGAGCGCCGCGAGCATTTCGCTCCGACTGTTTGCCATGTTTTTCGTGTTTCACGTGTTTGTTCGGCCTGCTTGCGAGTAATGTGGACGCAGCTTAATGCTCAGAGATTTAACGCTTCGGAAAAAAACGGGAAAAATTGGAAAAAAACACTGTTTTTAGCGTTTTTTTCACATACCTTGGAAAAATTGGAAAAAACGGAAAAATTAAAAATAAACGTAAATTAACCAAATTATACATTCTTGTGGGGTCAATAGTCAAAATCAAATAAAATTTTTCTTCTTATAATATAAAAATAACTTTGGTTTCAAGTTTTTAAACAAAATAAATGTAAAAAAATATTAAAAATCAAACTTAAATTATCATTTCAAAAAACAGAAACATTATTTAGCAAAAAAAAACTAAGAGGAAGATCTTCCTCCGAGTCCGATCCTGAGTCTTCGGCTTCTGAGTAAGCAACGGCATCTGAATCTGCCTCCACATTACCCTCTTTTTCATCTTGAATTAAATCCACAACGTTTTCAGACTATTCTAAAAGCGGAAATGGTCTGGGATTGTACATATATTTGGCATTTTCATATAGATTTAAGCACATTAAACTAGATTGAATAGCAACCAGCTTTTGAACTTTATCTTGTGTCAATCTATTTCTTTTGTTAGTATGTATAAAACCATGTAAGGACCAATTTCTTTCTGAAGAGGCAGAGGATGGAGGCCCATTTAAAATCCGGGAGGCCATTTTCATAAGCGGCTGTGATGTACATACACAAACCTTTCCACCATATAACTGGATGAGTACTGGTGGCACTTTTCCATAATGAATCTCGACTGAAAAATCCTGTTACGTAGGGTGTAGATGAAAATTTTTATTAAAATTACTTAATAATGATTTAAAAAAAAATATAAGTTTTTATGAGGGTTATATGGGCTAATTTCCTTATCAGTCTATTCTACACTGATTTTTAACACAATTTCAATTTTTCCGGAAATTTTAAATCACTATTAATCCTATCCATATATTCATGCAAGGCAGACGGACAAAGGGCCCTAGGGTGGGGATCCTTGACAGTTCGTTTACCTATTGACAGATCAGAAAAGATCCTGTGGTTCTCAAAATTTAAGCAAAAAATATATTTTTTGGAAATTTTCAAAGTAAAATAACTCGGTTATTTTGGACATATATCAAAAATAGTAAAGAGAAAAGTATGTTTCTTTTATCGAGATCTACCAGCCATGAAAATATTTGCACTTATTTAAGACTCACCCTGTATAACTTACATTACAGAAATAGTTAATAACAACTGTATTTTATAAATGTTTTTAGGAAAAATAGTCACATTACTAGCTAAAGATGTCTATTCAATAGATGGAGGAGTTACATTTCTGAAAGATACAGTTATCGGGGTACTCTATATACTCGTCGTAACATACACGTTGTACCAAAAAGTAGGAGTATCGTCTTTTCCAGCTACTGGAGTGATCCTAGTATTAATCCCTTTACAATGTAAGTGATTTATTTTTGATGTAAGTGCTTTAAAAATATAGTGAACTAAAATTCTAGTATATCTTGGCAAGAAAACGACTCTAAGTAGAATAGAAACCGCCAAAAGAACGGATGAAAGGTTTAGACTAATCCAGGAAACTCTAAATGCAGTTAAAACTATAAAAATGTATGTCTGGGAAAACTATTTTGAAAAACTAATTGGCATAGCTAGATTGTGAGTATTAAAAAAAAACAATTACGTGAAACTCTTTTCTATTTTGACTTAAGAGCCTCGAAAACTTTAATATTTATAAAAGTTCTAGCGTATATTAAAATTAGGTTTTATTGTTGTCTTATTATATTAATATTTATTCTTTTTAGGAAAGAGACTGACAAACTCAAAGTGGTATATTATTTAAAATCTATCATTGTTATTCTGGGAGCCTCAACTCTTAACTTGTCCTTTTATGTCCTTTTAATATCCTATATTGCCAGGGGATACCCTCTAAAAGCTGAAGTGATATATTTTGTGCAACAATCCCTGTTTACCCTAAGGGCCTATATAGCTATGTCAATCCCATTGGGTATCGGACAAACTGCAGATATGATTGGCTCTATGAGAAGGATTCAACAATTTTTAGGTAAATATTATTCAACAAAATTCAGTTTTACCTACTATCGAAGTTTTCTATACCAAGTAGATTATTCTTTTTCACAGATACCATTACGAAATAAAATCACTGTATATAGCCTAAGAGCTGACGACATATTTAGAGAACATATTTTAGGCAAGCTAGAATAACTAAAAATGTATAGTTTATTAACTGGTGAACCCAGAATCCTAAGTCTGGTTGGGGGGTTAGGGGTATTTCGCTACTGCGCAACCTATAACATTTGCAAAAAAATAAATCCAAAAAACATTCTTTAGGCAACTTGAAATTTGTTTATTCTTAAATTTTAGCATCTATTTAACCTAGAAATAAGTATGCCAGACTTTTTTTTTCGGGTTTAAAGTGTAACCAGACCATTCCAAATATGTTTAATTATTATACCTGGAAAACATACTTTAGACATTCTAAAATTTTTACAGCGTGTTTATTAGATGAAATTAAAAAATATGTGTTAATTGCCAGACGAATTCAATGGGATTTAATACTTGCCAGACGCGAATAAAGATTTTAAATGAGCGCGATAAGAAAGTCTTATGAGTATCTATAAGCGCGAGAAAGATAGTTTATTGAGACCCGGTCGGCAGCCGATGCGGCTGACGTAACAGCATTTTGGAGTGGTAAAAACTTAAAAAAAACTAACTAATATTGAATAAAAGAAAACATTTTTTAATAAAAATATATGATTGATATCCTTTCAATAAGAAGACTTTTTAATTTAAGTATTTTGTATCTGAAAGAATAAAAAGACGAATAATTATTTAAAAATTAGCATAATATAAAATACCTATATTTTTTTCAAACGTCACAAAAGTATAATTATTATTACACTTTTGTGTGACATATTATATTATTATTAATTTTTGCGACCTGATTATATTGTCAATTAAAAAAAAGTCATTTTAACTTTTTAAATGAAAATAAAGCACTTTTACTTACTTTTGAATCTATTTAGAAAGATTAACAATGGTAGGTACTTTAATAAAATTCCAGAATACTTATTTTTTTAGCACTGTACATGGTACCCTTTTGTCGGGACTACGTTTTCTGGTAAAACCACTTGTTTAAATTTTAACCATGTCGTTGGCGCACTTTTAAAAATTCTTTGCATTTTTGTAGTTTGCCTTCATCAGAAACAATAACTTTGTCACTAGTAACTTTTTACAAACTACACAACTTAAATGTTTTTTATCCATTGTGATTTAGTAGTTAGTAGCGAAATTAGTAGTTACTAAAATATTTATTTGCAGTAATTATTCTAAACTATTTACACTATGCATGTCCAATATTTAATTTATAAATACATATTTGTACATATATACAATATAACTTAATTCCAACAAAATAATCTCTAAAAGCCTGCAAATAATTGAAATGAAACCCAAAAAAAATTGTTTTTATGAAGATTTGAAGTACATACTCCAAAATACTGTTACTTCAGCCGCATCGGCTGCCAACGGGTCTCAATAAACTATCTTTCTCGGGCTTATAGATACTCATAAGACTTTTTTGTCGCGCTCATTTAAAATCTTTATTCGCGTCTGGCAAGTATTAAATCCCATTGAATTCGTCTGGCAATTAACACATATTTTTTAATATCATCTAATAAACACGCTGTAAAATTTTTAGAATGCCTAAAGTATGTTTTCCAGGTATAATAGGTAATTAAACATATTTGGAATGGTCTGGTTACACTTTACACCCGAAAAAAAAGTCTGGCACACTTATTTCTAGGTTAAATAGATGCTAAAATTTAAGAATAAACAAAGTTCAAGTTGCCTAAAGAATGTTTTTTGGATTTATTTTTTTGCAAATATTATGGGTTGCGCAGTAGCGAAATACCCCCAACCCCCCAGCCAGACTTAGGATTCTGGGTTCACAAGTTATTAAACTTTATTTTTTTTGTTATTCTAACTTGCCTAAAATATGTTCTCTAAATATGTCGCCAGCTCTCCGGCTAATAGGCTTGGTGCATTTTAGTTGATTTCAAAAAATTCCGACCACAGCGTCGTATACGGCATAAATCAGACATTTTCGCTATGTTGATCACATTAAAGTAATATTGAAATCGTGGCTTTGTCATAATATTTAAGTATTTTAGTTTTTTGCTAGTGCATTTATTGAGACCATAAAACACACAAGTACGAGGTTTGTGTGATGTAACGCTGTTTCGGGTGATAAGTGAAAATTAAATGAAAAATAAGTGAAAAAAATCCGATCTAGGCGTCGTGTTGTGTTGTGACAATTTTAAATGTTAATAAAATTGCCGGAAAAAATGTTAGCGCGTAAAGGAGAGCGTAATTAGGGCGTTGTTGGGTGCAATACCATTTAATAACTCAAATTTCCCGGATATTCAACTCTCCCGAAGCAACATTTTATAGCTTTATAGTTTCTCACATCGATTTGATCAAAAGCAAAAATTGATTCAAGCCGTTCGACGAAACAAGTGAGTAAACAAAGTGCTCGTTACGTAATCAAAAAATTAAATAGACATATTCTATGAGAGGATAAAATATAATTTGCAACATTAATGATGTACTTTTTGGTAAAACATTTAGTTTTATCCTTAACATCTTCTAAAATTATAATTATGTACCTTTAAAAAAATTCGTTATAGCCGAAATAGCCCCAATTATGCCCCACTAGCAAAACCGGTGATTAAAACTATGCTCGCTACCGTAATTGAAGCCATAAACGTTTTCTATAAGTTGAAGCCATAGAGCGGTTTGCCAGTGGATTACGAGATACCCAGAGAAAACATTATAGAAAACTCACCCTGTATATTTAAAGATAATAATCATGATCATTTCATTTCAGAATCCAAAGAATACCACCGTGAAAACATCACAATGCCATCTCCAAACGAACATCCAGTAGTTTACCTAAACCAAGTCAGCGTAACGTTTAAGAAAAAACAAATTTTGAAATCCGTATCATTAAACATCAAAGAAGGCCTTATTCTGATCACTGGAAACAACGGTAGTGGTAAAAGCAGTCTTTTAAAAACAATCCTTGGAGAATATCCTGTGAGTAATGGAGAAAAAAAGGTTACTGGATCAATCTCTTACGCTCCCGAAGAGCCATGGCTTTTTCCTTCAACCATCAAACAAAATATTCTTTTTGGACAAGCTTTTGATAAAAAAAGATACGAGGAAGTTTTGAGCGTTTGTGCTTTAACCTATGATATCAATCAGTTTGAAAAAGGCGATTACACTATTGTGGGAGACAAAGGAATAAATCTCAGTAAAGGACAGCAAGCCAGAGTAACACTAGCCAGAGCAATTTATAGAAACAGTGACGTATATTTACTAGACGACTGTCTTAGTTCATTGGATAACCACGTGAACAAACATATATTTGAAAAATGTATTAAAGGATACTTAAAAGACAAAATTTGTATCTTGATCTCGAATAACCTGAGCAATATCAACTCGGTACCTACAGGAAACATTCTTTTAATTGAAAACGGTTCTACTTTGACTCTGGAACAACAAGCTGGAGCTCTAGATAAAAGAATTACGTACTATATTGATGAAGAAACCGAAAGATTCAAGAGAGAATCATACTTGCTGGACGATTTTGAAGAAAGTGATGATGAAGTTGATGAGACTGATACTCTTTTGCAAAATAAAAAAGTTGCAGATAGAGAAATCAATTTGTACCATGAAACTAAAAAGGAAGGAGGGGTGTTATGGAGTAATTATGTCAGATATTTTAAGTTTATTGGAGGATATTTTAGGATAGGGCTCTTGTTTGTGATTTTTATTTCGTCACAGGCCTGTCTGTCTTACTCAGAAAAGATTATAAGTCTGTGGTATGTATGGCTTGCCTTAAGGGGAATTTAGAGTCTCACTTATTTTGTGCAAATTGGCTTGTACAGGGTGAGTCAACGATAGAATAAAAAATGTTACATATCGTCAGTGAAACGTGATAACCTGCTAACTCCATTTTTTACGTTAATACGTTTTTTTATACCATTAGAAAGAGAAAAAAATACTCTATAAGTAGGGAAAGCAAATAAATTTTTTCCCATTAAAGAAAATTTGCTATTTTAACTCAATAATATTTGCTAACTCCCAGTGATCTAAAATTGTCACCGAAATGCTGCTATCTCCGTAATTTTCGTTACGATCACGCTAAAGCAAACACACGAATTCTTTCTCGTATGTTTCTTTAGTATAGTACGTCGATCCAGGGTCGCACTAGGCCAAAGGGGCCCGGGTGGCAATGTAAAGAGGGGCCCGTGTGGATTTTTTTGCATATTTTCTCGCCTTATGTTTTGGTCAATTTTTCCAAATTATATACAGGGTGAGTCTTAAATAAGTGCAAATATTTTTAGGGGTAGTATATTTCGATCCAAGAAACACGATTATGAGGCTTTATGCGCGAATTTTTTTTTTTGGAAATTTGGACTTTTTTTAAAAAAAAAATTGGAATTTTTTTTAATTTTTAGTTTAAAAACATACTTTGTTTGAAATATGGCAACATAGGTAGTAGATTAATTTTACAAGAAAGAAAATCCAATGATTGTCAAAATTATAGCAAAAAATTGGAAATTTTAAAAGTGAAATAACTCGGTTGTTTTGGATTTATTTGAAAAATCGGTAAAGAGAAAATATTATGTTTCATTTATCGAAATTTACCAGCCCTGAAAACGTTTGCACTTATTTAAGACTCACCCTGTATAGAAATCAGGGAACTACCCTACTGCAAGGTAAACCAATGCAATGCAAATGCCATAAAGTAATGCAAAAGCAAATATTGTTAATAATAAATAATGAACTATAAAGGGAGCCTATATATATATATATATATATATATATATATATATATATATATATATATATATATATATATATATATATATATATATATATATATATATATATATATATATATATATATATATATATATATATATATATATATATATATATATATATATATATATATATATATATATATATATAATATGGCCAGTCCGATCCTGCGTCGATCCGTTCTGTAAATACGGGGTATCAGTAAAGGGTAAGGGGAAAAACGAAATTCTCTATATACGAGCAATTCATCGGCGTGCTATAAATAGTTTAAATAACATTACTTAGTTGTACAAGAATTTCCATAATACCTAATCAATTTTTTTTTCAACGTTTTTCCACGTAAATAATACATAATTTTTATAAAAATTAAAAAAATAAGGAGAGAAGTAATAACAATTTAATAAAATCACGCACTGTTTTTCAAGCTCGGTCTACTACCGTTGGATAAAAATTAGGATAAGCATGGAAGGACTGAGTCTACAATATCTTCTAAGAATTATAAGTTTAATTTTTAAATTATTTTCATATTCATTAAGTCCAAAATGCTGCGACTTCAGTTCTTTAAAAATGCATTAAAAATTTATTCGTTTTTTGACTTGTATGTTTTGCTTCTAGACCGACGATATTCTAAATATATGGTTATGAATATCTTATTTTTTAAATTTAATTCATTATTTCTAAATCTGTTTGGGTAATATTCAATTCCATTTTCAAAATTTCAAACAATAAAGGTTGCTATCTCCAGAAATATATTTTTATTTCTTATTTCTGCAAGACGAATATCTGCTATCTCCATATTGTGTCTGAAAAAAATTATGTAACACGAAATATTGAGTGTTATTGTTCCCCAGCAAATAAAATTCTTATCTCTTTATTATATTAACCCATGAAAATACTTCCTACATGTGTACATATTTTTTTGTACCGTTTTTTTGCTCTCCTGTAAAATTAGGGATAATGGAGTTAGCAGTTTATCACATTTCACCGACGATATAAAAGTTATAGGGAAGGTTATTGGGATACACATATGTTATGAATGTTAATGGGATACACATATGGGAAGGTTATTGGGATACACATATGTTTTAAATGCAGCACCCTTTTTTATTTTATTTTGAGATTTTGCGTAAAATTCTGTAACTTTTTTATATTTAATTTTATATACCTAAAATTAACAGTTTTTGTAATATATGAATTTGTTTAAACAAATGTTAGATTTGAGTGTGTTAAAAAATTGTCAGCGAAGCCATTGTTTCTGAAGTTGGATTACTAAAATTTGGTAAGAGAGTTTTATAGAGATGAAGAAAAAGATATATTTAAAGATATTTTAGTTAAATGCCTACATGATTTTCAAAATATATTTATGAATTTCAACTAACTAATTACAATTAAAATATCTCAATTTTTTTAAATGGCACACCCTATATATTATCATTTTTTCTGATAAATTTTACAAAATTCTTCAACCTTTTGTAGGCTGTATCATATCTATATCTATTTTTAATACTTTCCGACTTATTTTGAATTTTTCAATTTTTACTCTCTTTTTTAAATTTATTTATGCTAAAACCACAGCTAAAACATCATAGTTGTCATGACAAAACAAAAAATATTTATTATTCAATGACTAAAGAATATAAGGACATGTAACGCCCCTATACGGGCTGCAGCAGAATTTGTGACCTTTTTTTTTGTTTTGGTGGCAAACAATGAGTCATCATTTGGTCACCAGCGACAATTTTAGCGATTTTTAATAGTTTGTGCGTAGTAAACTTTGTATAAACTTTATTATAATGGTGATTAGTTGTTCAGCTTTCAAGTGTAAAAGCAGCAGCGATAAGAAAGAGCCAGGAGTTACGTTTCATAGGTAAATAAACAGTCCACCCCAACTTTTTAGCGTTTTCTTATTGAATTCGATAATTATTCTTCAATTTAAATTAATATCTATATGTACTTGATATGTGCTATACGTCGATACTAGTTTTGTACCTTTTGTTAACGTTTTAATACGTTTTTTTCGTAATTAATTAGGATGATACACCATAGGCGTAGTCAAAACAATTATCAAAAAATATAAATATTGCTTCAAACAGCTAGGTTAAGAAAAATATGTGCCACGGCACTGTTTGATGGCATCGTCACAATTTGCTCTCGGGTGTTATTTGTCCTTGGATTCTTTAGTCATTGTTATTATCAATAAATAACAGTTTAGTAATTAGTTAAAATTGTTATTACTAATTTATATTAATTAACTTTACTCAAATAAACTAAAGTCACAGTCGTAAAGTTCTTGGTGTATTTCTATATTATGAAAGATGACACTTGATTTTTCCTTGTGGCGAATAGCCATAGATTAGGGTAATACTAGATTACCTAGTTGTTGACAACTACTGATATAGAAATTTTCTTCGACATAAAGTAAAGTTTTTTTTGTCGTAGCAATTCTGGTTGATAATTCATTTTGTAAAGCCAATACTACTATTGCCGCGAAACCGTCTCATCACACACTGAAAATGTTTTCTAGATAATCTACATCCATTCTTATAGTACTTAGCAAAGTACTATAAGAATAATATGTAGTACTGAACCAAAAAATATTTTTTCTTGGCTTGTTCGAGTATATTAGTAATTATCTCTACTATTATCTCTACCATCTCTACTTATTATAACAAATTAAACTAAAATTTAATATTTGTTTTTAACTTGCTTAATAGACATATCCAATTTTGATAATTATTATTACTTACTTTTTGTTATGGTAGCGTAATTGTATTAAAAATATGGGTAAAAATAGTAAAAATTGGAATAAATCGCAAACTATTAAAAATAGGTGTATGGCATACTTAATAAAAGTTGAAAAGTTTTGTAATATCTATCAGAAAAAATTATAATATAGAGGGTATACTATTTAAAAAATTTGAGATTTGATTTTAAGTATTTGAATTTCACAAATATATTTTATATTTTAAACACCCTGTAGAATCTAACTAAAATATTTTTACATGTATCTTTTTCTTTATCTCTATAAAACTCTCCTACCAAATTTTAGTAGTCCAACTTCAGAAACAATGGCATCACTGTCAATTTTTTTACCACACTGAAATCTAACATCTGTTTAAACAAATTTAAATATTACAGAAACTATTAATTTTAGGTATATATATATAACATCATATATGAAAAGTTATAGAATTTTACGTAGAATCTAAAAATCAAATAAAAAATGATGTTACATTTAAAAAAGATATGTTATAGCAAAATAATGGTTACTAAGACTACCTTAGTTTACAATCATCTGCTGATGATGCTAACATGGTTAGCGAAACGCGCGTCCAGTGTAAAAGTAAAAGTGTTTTGGTGTATTGGTGTTTTTATTTTGCTGTGTAACACCAAAGGTTCCAACCCTCAACTGTAATCTAAGATATGTTATATCCGCCACACTATTTTAAGCACCCTTAGTGATGTAAAATTTCCAGAAATATATTTCCTGAAACATTGGAAATATATGGAAATATATGGAAATATATGGAAATATATGGAAATATATGGAAATATATGGAAATATATGGAAATATATGGAAATATATGGAAATATATGGAAATATATGGAAATATATGGAAATATATGGAAATATATGGAAATATATGGAAATATATGGAAATATATGGAAATATTGGAAATATATGAAATATTTTAAAAAATAAGAAAAACTGAAATATTTATTTATAAAAATCATAACAAAACATCGCAAAACACAAAATGCTTATACATAAACACAAATAAAGAGTTATTTTTCAAATTAAAACATAAATTAAGGTTAAATTTATACAAAAAAAATATTTTTGACACACTAGTCGAGCAAGAGGCATATCTTCATCGCTGTCATCAGAATCACACTCAATAATATCTTCTTGCCAGTCTAGTTCCTCAAAACCTTCAATAGTATCGGAAATAAAAATTGATCTATTGCCGTTTCCTATTTTTTTCAGCAAGTTTTCATTGTGGGATACATAGAGTAGCTTAGCGGCTCTATCATTAGTAAGCCTGTTTCTCTTTTTTGAATGAATATGACTATAAACGCTAAAACTGCGTTCCGTCAGTGAATCCTCAAACTCGATATATTCACCATAGTATATGTTTGTAAAACTGTTCTATAGTAAGTTTAATGTTTATAGGGTTACAAAATATGAAAGATATATTAATAAACATCGGGTATGAATCGTTAATGACAAGATTTAAGTATTTTTAAAAATATTTCCAATATTTCCGAGACACGTTTGGAAACTTCCAATATTTCCATTTACAACACTAAGCACCCTGTATACTCTATAAAAAATTTATAATGTGTATGTTAACCTTCCCTATAACTTTTATATTTAAAATTTTCTTGTAAACCTCGAAACAAATGAGATAATGGACTTTATCATTGACTTACCCTGTACATTATTGCGATTGTTGCATGTTAAAATATTTTATTATCTAAAAATCGATTTTTCAGGGTAAATTTAGAACCAAAAGTCACAAAAATGCTGGAAAACAATCAAACAAATTCTACAGAGTACCTAGGAATCGTTGGCCAGCGTAATACTTATCTGAACATTTATTCTATGATGATCATTGGGATATTTGTGTTTTTCATGTTGAGAGCTTTTACCACGTTTACGTTTTGTATGAATGGCGCTAAGAAGATGCATAGAGCCGTTGTAAAAGCCATGCTCAACACTAACATGTATTTTTTCGATACTCATTTCATTGGGAACATTATAAACAGACTATCCAAAGATTTTCACTCAATTGATGAATATATGCCGTTTCTAGTTCTGGAATATATCAGAGTTAGTAGACATATGATCTTGCAATATAAATATTAGGGAAGTATCTTAAAAATTTATTTTTCAGTCAATCTTTAGTGTATTGGGTGTTCTGATTTTGGTAGGCACTGTGAATATCTCATTTTTTATACCAGCTGGTTTACTGTTGGTAAAACTGTATTTCGTTCAGAAGTTCTATCTACCAACTAGCAGAAGCTTAAGAAGACTTGAATCTTCAAGTAAGTATGTTGACCTTAAAATTTTATTGGGAACCTCGAAATTAGCGGAATAAATTAGTGGTTTCAAAAATTCATGATCATTCACAATGTCTAAAAATACAATTAAAGTTAATCGAATATTCTAACAACAGCGGTAGTCATATGTATCTATAAAGAAAACCTAATAATTAACTTATAAAACAATAAACATTTGATTTCTAATTACAATTTGTCTTGACGGATGATAATCAAAGACCAAAATGACACTACTCGCAAATTTTGACATTTAATTATTGGCAAAAGTTAAAGGTTTGTCAACTTTTTCTACTAATTGAAAATTACTACCACTAATTTTAACATTCTGAATGCTTATATTGAAATTAGAGGAATATACTTATACGTTAATTGAAACCACTAATTTAGCCCACCTATTTCGAGGCTCTTAATGAAGATTAATGCCTCATTAAGAACCTAAAAATTAGCGGAATAAATTAGTGGTTTCAATTATACTTTATACTTAAAAATTCACGATCATTCATAATTACTCGTAAATTTTTGAAGTATAATTAGTGGCAAAAATTAAAAGTTTGTCAACTTTTTCTACTAATTGAAAATTACTACCACTAATTTTGACGTTCTGAATGCTTATATTGAAATTAGAGGAACGAACTTCTACGCTAGAAACCACTAATTTATTCTACCAATTTCGATGTTCGGTGAATGAAGGTTAAAGCCTCATTAAGAACCTAAAAATTAGGGGAATAAATTAGTGGTTTCAATTATACCTTATACTTAAAAATTCACGATCATTCATAGTTACTCGTAAATTTTTGAAGTATAATTGGCAAAAGTTAAAATTTGTCAACATTTTCTACTAATTGAAAATTACTACTACTAATTTTGACGTTCTGAACGCTTCCATTGAAATTAGAGGAACGAACTTCTACGCTAATTGAAATCACTAATTTATTCCGCAAATTTCGAGGCTCTGAATGAAGGTTAAAGCCTCATTAAGAACGTAAAAATTAGCAGAATAAATTAGTGGTTTCAATTATACTTTATACTTAAAAATTCACGATCATTCATAATTACTCGCAAATTTTGAAGTACAATTAGTGGCAAAAGTTAAATTTTGTCAACTTTTTCTACTAATTTAAAATTACTACCACTAATTTTGACGATCTGAATGTTTGTACATTGAAATTAGAGGAACGAATTAACTAATTGAAACCACTAATTTCGAGGCTCTGAAAAGGTTAGAGAATGTATAATTTTAAAATTACTTTACTTTAATTTTTTAAAATAAAATCTCCATGAGAAATGCATCATTTTGCTCTGCATCATGTTTTTTGCAGCAAGAAGTCCAATAATTGGTTATCTCAATTCAACATTGGAGGGAGTAGCTATTGCCAGGGCGTCCCAAAAAGAAGGTTTACTCAAAATCGAATTTGATGGTCACCAAGATCTGTACACTTCTGTATTTTATATGAACCAAACAACAGGCAAATTTTTTGGGCTGATATTAGACTTTTTTGGAATCTTTTTTGTGGTTGGGATTATGGCTAAAATTACTTTCTTTGGAGAACGTAAGTATATAAGTATAACTCAGTAATTAAAAAAAACATATTATAGCTTATAACACTGAAAAGCTTAAAAATGGGACTTTTTATGAAGTTATGGCAACTATGGTTTCTATTTAAAAAAAACATATGTTTGTGTCATATGTCAAAAATGACAGACTCTAGAAAAAAAAAACGGAGGACACAAACTCATTAGGGATGTGATTATCTACAACTCTTATCTGAAAACTTTTAGTCTAAAACAGATTATAATGGTATTAGACAATTTTTAAAATAGTCGAAATTTGTTTTTTCGAAATATCTATTAAGCCATGAACTTTTTCAAAAATATGAAAGGCGCATATTTATGACCACACAAAACTGTAATTCTTTCCCCATTTAACCGACTCTCTATCTCCAGTAGTTTCCGAGATACGCAAGAGAACATCGTAAAAAACTCACCCTGTATGTATTTATGTAAGTGATTTTTTTTCAGTTTATCAGAGTATACTAAATTCAAACATCAACTATTTTAGTTTTTTCTCATAATTTTTCTTCTATAGTATTCTAGGAAATATTCTCATTTTGATAAAATTCTTCTTGCTATTATTACCATTTTTTATCAAGCGAATTCTTTACTTGACTGTCTGTTAATAGATTACCATGGCCACTTGATAATTGACACACAATTTGACTTTTGATAATGAACTAATTTAAACAGTATTTTTCTGTATAATTCAAAATGCTCCGTAATAATGAATTTTTATGTTGGTTCTTATAAAAATTTGAGAGAATGATATAGTTTCTTTAACAATCTTTGGACTTTACGTCGTCAATGATTATCGTACTATGTACCATACGATCGAAAAAAAACGGTGTCAAAGAGGGCTGAGGAATGATAATCGATGATAATTTTGGCGAGGTCAAGCCCTAGACTTAATTATTTTGACCCGTACTCTTCTTTATTATTTAATGGCGCTTACTGCCAGTTGGTTTAAAAAAAATATAATTTATTTTTATATTGAGTAAGAATGATTTATAAATGGTGTAGTTTAAAAAACGTTCTATTTTAATCTTACTATAATTTCGAAGTGTTAATTTATGAAGTTTTTAGTCTATAGATAGTGACTTCGCCAAAATAATCATCGATTGTCATTCCCCAGCCGTCTTTGACGCCGTTTTTTATTTCGATCATACAATATTTCAAATCTATAACACTGATATTTTTGTTGATATAGATTTAGGTGCTGGAGATGTTGGTTTGGCTATATCTCAAGCTATGATGCTCTCCGGGGTTTTACAATACATCATTAGGCAGCTCACAGAAATCGAGAGTGTCATGACAGCAATCGAGAGAGTCCTGGAATATGCTGATGTAGAATTGGAACCAAAAACTGGAAGGGTACTTGAAATCGCAAATTGGCCCATCGAAGGAAACATTGTTTACAAGAACCTAACGTTAAAATATAAGAACGATGATAACATAGTTTTAAAGGATTTAAGTTTTGACATTCTTGGTAAAACTAAAATTGGAATTGTTGGAAGAACAGGAGCTGGCAAATCATCTATAATATCCACATTGTTTCGGTTGTACGATTATGAAGGAAACATCTTTATAGATAACGAAAACATCAAAACTTTATCTCTAGAATATCTCAGGTCTATCATCAGCATTATTCCTCAAGATCCTGTTCTGTTCTCTGGCTCAATTCGATCAAACATTGACCCACTAAGCAAATACACAGATACAGCTATTTGGGCTGTTTTAGCCAAAGTCCATGCCAAACACTTAGTAAAAGACTTGAACCAGAATGTCACAGACTGTAACTATAGTTCAGGTCAAAAACAATTGTTTTGTCTTGCTAGAGCTTTAATTAGAGGTAACAAAATTGTGGTTATGGACGAGGCAACCGCAAACCTGGATCCGGAAACAGACAAGTTGTTGCAAGAGTCGGTAAGACAGTGTTTCGAAGAGTGTACAGTAATAATAATTGCTCACCGGTTGAATTCTGTGATGAAGTGTGATAAGGTATTGGTTCTGGATGCTGGACAGATCGTTGAGTTTGATGAGCCTGAAGTACTTTTGAAAAATCGTAACGGATTTTTGTATAAAATGGTTAGGGACGAAGGACCTCTGTGAATCAAAAACTATTTTAAATTTTAAGACGATCAATAATTATATTTTGTTATAAAAGAGTTTAAAATAAATAAATATATACTTTTTTTATGTGTTGCTTATTTAGTACTGTCTTTTGTGGTTTTAATTAATTTGTTGTTAGTAAAGATTTTTTACTTATATTTTATTTTGATTTAATCATTTGCTGATTATGTTTAAAAAAGGAAAAAAAACTTCCAGAACCTTAACTTGTAAACAGCAAACTGTTTTTCAAGAAAAATAAAGAGAAAAATGGTGGTTCAGAACAATCTACATATACGTAGATCAAAACAAAGAATGAAAAATAATCAAAAATACGAGTGTTTTAATTAATATTTTTTTATTAATGGGAATTATATTAATATTAATTCAATATAACAATGACAAAATCTCTTATAAATTTGGCACATAGTTAAAAGAAGTCTTATACATAAATTACAAACTTTTATAGATGTTTTTTTGCCACAATATTGTATTTATTAAAGAATGATTCTCTTGATATGAGGCAGATAAAATATACATCATCAAGTTCATCATAAGATTCTTTTTTACAAACAATAGTAAAATCTCTAATAATTATCATACAATAGAAATTTTTGCAAACTGACAGTAATGTAATATACACTTTCGTAGCATGTGGCAGTTTTTTTAGTAAAGTTTAATACATTCTATACAAAACAATAACAAAATTTCAGTAGAAATATGTTTATATTAGAAACATGAGTATGTCGGTAAAAATAACAATATTAATCGATTTTTTAAGCCTAGCAACAACATAGCAACAAATTTCATATACAGTACGTCCCCGAATTCTCTTACACGAGGAAAAACATTTTTATGGTTAATTCGTGAAGAATTTTTTTTTTGCTTTGAAAATACAATTTGCTTGTGAAATAAAATGACAGGTACAATTGTTACTGTCAGAGGGATATATTGTAATAGAGGGCTTCTATGAAGAAAGTCAAAAATATTTTGATATTTTTTTATTTTTCTATAAAACAGTATGGAATTTTGGAAAATTATAAACGGAATTAGGCGTTTTAAGACAAGCAAGAACTTTCGTGTAGAATGCATTTTTCTCAAAATGTTAAAAACAAAAAAAGTTTTTCCTATTGTGTAGATAATCCGGAGATATACAGGGTGGTCCGAACTGTATTTCGGAAACTTCGGCAGCATATTCTGCACAGGAAAATAAGTACAAAAGTTCCTATAAACTTATGTCCTAAAATGCTTTGTTTCGGAGATACAGGGTGTATAAGTTTCATTTTTATTTCGATTTTTCCTAATAATTTCTGAACCAAATTCCGAATTTGGATGACAAGTAGTATCTATAGGGAAAATATATGAAAAATTTGATTTCGATGTCAATATGAATCCTACTTGTAGCGAGTGCCACCTACATATTTTTTAACTGGTTCGAAGAGTAACAACTTTTCGGCCGTCCCTGTAGTTTTTTCACACTACTATGTTCATTTACGACGTTTTTTTACGTAAAAAATGTCTCTTGGTAAAAATCTCTGCGAACAATCGTTCTCAAGATATTTGGATTCTTAATAATCAATATATGCCATCAATGACAAAAATTATACATGTTTACTAGATATAAAATTATGGAAATGAATATTTTTTCACTCAGTAGTTTTATATACCGGGTGCGTCTCAAAAGTGGCTCACCCCTATAACTTTTTTATTTTTTCAGATAAAAAAACGATATTTGGTATGTTAGTATATGACATAAATTGGGATTAATTGACGTATTCAATTGTTTTCGGTCACTTCCGGTTTCACCGGAAATTATTACAACTTTTGATTTTTAAATGGCACCCTCGGTATTTTTTTACTTTATTCGATAGAAAATGACACTCTAAATCGAATGACATATCATATGTCAACTTTTGACATTTTGGCATATGGTTTATTTGAAATTGTAACATGCGGTTCATAACGACTATTTGACTCAAAATACCGAGTGGGTGGTATCAAATTATTCGTAAAAAATAATGCTTTTTCCAAATATGCTAATGAGCCACCCTCGTTCCATTTGAAAAAATTGAGATATGATTAAAAATACGATTTGGGCATCTTTTAACCGGCCAGGACAAGACACTAAAAACATTAGACGATCAAATCTATTTTTCCAAGGCTCCTTGATTAAAAATTAGTGTTTTTAACACAGCCATCTAGATTGAAATTTAAAATAGAATTTGTTTTTGAGTGACTATGTCAAAAATTGACATACGATATGTCATTCGATTCAGTGTCATCAGAGTAAGTAAACCGACGAATAGCGACAGTCCCGTTTTCAATTTTCTTTGCGGCTGCGCGAAATAAGTAGGTTATCTGTCATATGAAGAAGCAAAGTTGCCACTGTTGCCATTTATCAAATATCTCTATATACTTTATTTCAAGTATACCTCAGGCAACAAATCCGTTTTTTAAATTATTTATTAGCCGTAAGATATTTTATACATTCAAATTTAGAAATAAGAATAAAACAAAACAAAAAAAACATGTATAAAACTTTATAATTAAATCCGGGGGGCAACCGCGGTGGCAATATGGTGTACAAATCCGTTGCAATAATTGGAAATAATTGGCAATAATTGGCAATACTTTTACATACTACGTGTATTTTTGGCATTAGTATTGGCAGTACTATGGCACTTTTGGCATTAGTTTGGCATTAGTTTGGCATTAGTTTGGAATTAGTTAAATATATTTGCTGCATTAAAAATCAATTTTCAGATAAGTTCGTTTGTAAAAACGGATTTTAATACATAATTATAATTAATATATTAAATATACTTGTGTAAGATGAAAGGTTAGTCAAAAATAAAATTAATAAAACATAATCAAAGTAAAGGCGAGAGTAAAGGTAACTTTGGTAAAGGTAAGTCGGTGTAATAATAAGTAGGTTTGTATACAGAGTGTTCCAGGCTGAGTGTACATTAGAAGTTCCTAGAGAACTAGAGACTAACAATATCTAGATCGGAGATTGTTTGTACATTATTGTTTCACAACAAGATCTATCGATTCAAAATATTTTCAATATGGCGGAACGTCCGGAAATGTCGGAAGTTGGCGGCAACTTTCGTATTTTAAATGGGTGCCTCCATTTTTTATTACATACTTAAATTCTCTGTAAAATTTTATGAATTTTGGTATTAAACTCTATACCTAGCATCTAGCATTAACCGTTTTAGAGAAAAAAAAAAAATATTTAAAATTTTTAGACGAAAAAAACTGCCTGTCAAAAATATGGGTATAGCCTAAACGTCAAATTTACTGATTACCACAGCCACTGTCCCATAAAGAGAAGACATGTGGCTATCTATTTCAAAAATTAAATTGTTCGAATGTCATATAATAATGGCCATGCAGCTATCATGGAATTGAGCGATTAAAAATTATCATAAATAATTTTTTTCAAATAGAAACCCATTTTTTTATTTCACTAGTGATTTTTCAATTCGTTTACATGTTCTTATACCTAAAATAAATCGTTTTTAAATTGTTTAATATTTATTTAGTTTTAAAGCGTATATTTTTCTTGATTTTAACCAGTAGCCTATGACTTTAAACGTAATCAATAGATTAGGCCATGTCATAATGTGACACTTTGTTAAAAAATCAGTATGTTATCATCATTTCCAGGCCAACTTTGCAATTATTTTTTTTCGATCCTACAGTATATTATTAATAATATCAACTACCGTATGATCGAGAAAAAACGGCGTCAACGATGGCTATGAAATGAAGATCGCTGTCATTTTATATGTAACTTTATATGGGAAATGTCATCGATCGTCATTTCCCAGCCAACTGGACGCCATTTTTTTTCGATCATACGGTATTAGATATCACTCTAAAGAGCGAAAATACGAGATATATTTTTATAAATACACTTTTTTCCATAGCAACTGTTAAAATTGCCTTATATCTATCAAAAATAGTAGGTAGATCAGGGGCCGGAAAGTGAAATAGCAAAAGCGGTTCCACCGTTTCCATGGAAATTTCAAATAAAATAGTTCCAGCCTCGGGCGCTAGGTGGTAGTGCAATTAATTTTTAGGTTAAGAAGTTGCTACTAGTTATTGCCAGATGGCGTTCAATCAGATTTTTTTTGTAGTTTCCATAGTTTCCAACGGCCATTGTCATACTATTGTCAAATTCTCAAAAAATATTGTCGTTGTCATAGCGCCAATCATAATATTATCAAAAATGATTATCAAAACGTTTTTCAAACTATAATTTGTTATATGTGTTTTTATTAAACAATTCCGTTTGTTTGTGGCTCTAAAAATATAATGTAAGTCTTTTATTTTTGCCATCATTTAAGTACCTATTTATATTTACTCAATTTACAAAACTTTGGGCGTATTGCGTTGGTCTTGTTTTATTGTAATAAACGATGTTTAAATATTTGACTTATAAATAAAAAATTTAAAATAATAAATAATATTTACACATGTTTGGCATTAATTTTATTTAATAATTGTATAAATTATACTGTTAAATCTTATTTTTTACACATCATATCGATACTTGTTATTAGTATTGTTGAATTTGTGTAAAAAATAAGATTTAATAATCAAATTTAATTATTTTAGAATAAAATTCATTCAGCGCGGGCTCATTTAAAAAGCCCGCGCTTCGATCCATTTAAAACAAGCCCTACTCAATAGATGGCGCCACTTCTGTAGGACCATTTTTCAGTATGGCAGAGTCCATTCTTTTTCTAGCTAGGTATATTCTTTGAGGTAGATATAATAGTACTTTACCAGCAAGGGTAGATTTAAATGATACTTTAACAGCGAGGATAGGTTAAAAACTTTATTTCTTCTCGCACGTTTTTTAATTGCTTCCATTTTTGAAAATTTTTGTATTCCTTTTCATAAGTTATTCGGGATTTAAATGGAAGTAGTTTGGATATGGCGTTTGTCGCCTCAGCCTGAATACCTGTTGGTAATTTACTTATTTCGTTTTGAGCCATTTCTGGCTCCAATTCAATCAGCAATCGACACGAAACAGAATTAAAAAATATTGACTCTAAACTTACAACTAAAGAGAC